CTGCTAATAATACAGAAACGATGCAAAGACAGGAAGGAATGCGACTGACGTCTTGTATAAATGAAAGCACAAAACGTTTCGATTTGTTGTACTTTCAAAGTAGCAACTGTTGATCACCTGAATTAGAGGAAATAGTCAGTGCAAAAAATTGAGCTAGTTTGAAACAATGAGGAAGATGAAGAGCAGGACTTTTAGCAAGGTTTTGAACATCCAAAAGTGTGATGAAATGTGTACTATCACAAATGGTGAGTATTAATTTTTTTGGAGGGGGGGAAATACTCTTAGTTCAGAAAAAAATAAATCTCCTGACATCAATTAGAGCAAGTTGCTTGTGAATATGTCAAGCGCGTGTTTCTAAAGTTATTGGAATGTTACAGAATCTACCTAAAATTCTAGTATTCACCCAAACTCTCTTTTGGACCATTCCATAAAAGTTCATTGAAGTAAATATTTAGAACCTATGCTGTACAGTAATTTGAAAGTTTCATTACTTGGTTTCTTATTTTATGGAAACAGGAATCTTAGTAGTTTAAAAATCCCCATAGATAATTCAAAAAAATTACTATTCAAAGAAATTATCCTACCATAAATTCTATTCACATATTTTTTTTTGCATTTTCATTTTTCCTAAATTACTATTATATTAATGGTGACTAGACACTTGATTACAAATCACTTTGACCTTTATTAAATGACCTTTCTAATTTACAAATAACACAATTTTAAAGTATATATATGTCGTAACAGATGCAAACGTTTACCATTTTTAACATATAACATTGTCAAATTAATTAATACATGCCTCATTTTGGACTTTGTAAAATATTATGATAACTATGGACTTATCACTGTAGAGCCTGACGATGAAGTTATTAAAAACAATTGTTCGCTCAAATATTGTTCATTTTTGAAACAGGAATCGTCAAGAGTTATTGATCTTAGTGTAGTAAAATGAATTATCACGGTATATCAAAAATGTATAACACATTTATTTTCCTATATTAAAGATTAAATTAAAATGGGATTGGTTTATCCCATTTATCTGTTGAACACATTTACATTAATGATTTGTTCATCTCTTTACTACAAAGAGTATAATGATGTAGCCAACTATTCACAAAACTCCGCCTGTAGCTCTTCTAGAGTTACTGCCGGTCCCAAGCCCGGGTAAAGGAGGAGGGTTGGGCATGGGGTTAGCGACCCCATCCCGTAGAAAAGCTAACTCGCTAAAAAAACGCTAACCAGAAAAAATAATTCAAACCATTTAAACTCTGCCCTGGGAGTTGAAGGAATAATTATGACGTCTCATGATAAAAGCCGAAATTCTTCCGAAGTCACGAGACCGATGCACCTTCTAACAACCAGAGCAACACTCTTTATAAGTACATGGAACGTCCGGACAATGTGGGAGACAGGAAAGACCAGCCAAATAGCAATGGAAATGAGGAGATACAAATTCGCAATACTCGGAATCAGCGAAACCCATTGGACACAGTCTGGACAACAAAGTCTAGGTACAGGAGAGATGCTGCTGTACTCCGGTCACGAAGGGGAAAATGCTCCACACACTCAGGGAGTTGCTCTAATGCTGTCCAAAGAAGCACAAAATGCACTTGTGGGATGGGAATCTCATGGACCCAGGATAATCAAAGCATCATTCAGGGCAAAGAAGCAAGGGATCACAATGAACGTTATCCAATGTTATGCACCCACCAATGATAGCAACGACGATGATAAAGACCAGTTCTATGAGAGGCTGCAATCAATTATAGAGAAGTGCTCACGAAAGGACCTCACCATCCTGATGGGAGATCTAAATGCTAAAGTTGGAGTGGACAACACAGGATATGAAGATATAATTGGACGACATGGACTAGGAGAAAGAAATGAAAATGGGGAGAGACTTGCAAACCTATGTGCTTTCAACAAATTGGTTAGGCGGCACAATATTCCCACACAAACGCATACACAAAGCTACATGGATTTCACCGGACCACACCACAGAGAACCAGATAGATCACATCTGTATCAACAAAAAATTCCGAAGATCAATGGAAGATGTGAGAACCCGGAGAGGAGCTGACATAGCTTCAGATCACCACCTGGTTGTGGCCAAGATGAGACTGAAGCTTAAGAAACACTGGACAACTGGACAAACAGCACTACAAAGGTTTAATACAGCCTTCCTTCGAGATACTGACAAGCTCCATGAATTCAATATAATTCTCAACAACAGGTTCCAAGCTCTACAGGATCTACTGAAAGAACAAGAAACTACTTTGGAGGACAACTGGAAAGGGATAAAAGAAGCACTAACTTCAACGTGTCAGGAGGTTCTTGGTCCTAAGAAGCATCATCACAAGGAATGGATCTCTATGGGAACCCTGGACAAAATTCAAGAAAGGAAGAACAAGAAACTAGCAATTAACAACAGCCGAACACGAGCAGAGAAAATCAAAGCACAAGCAGACTACGCAGAAGCAAACAGAGAAGTGAAGAAAAGCATTAAAGCCGACAAGCAGAAATACATGGGAGAACTAGCAACGGCGGCGGAAAAAGCTGCAAGGGAAGGAAATATGAAACAACTATATGATACAACGAAGAAATTGGCAGAGAGATATAGCAAACCAGAGAGACCAATCAAGAACAAAGAAGGAAAGACAATCACTGAGATTCAAGAACAGAGGAAAAGATGGGCAGAATACTTCGAGGAACTGCTGAATAGACCAGCCCCATTGAATCCACCGAACATCGAAGCAGCCCACACAGACCTTCCAATAGATGTCACTCCACCAACGATCGAAAAAGTCAAAATGGCCATCAGACAAATCAAAAGTGGGAAGGCGGCAGGACCTGACAATATACCAGCTGAAGCACTGAAGTCAGACATTGAAATAACTGCAAATATGCTTCACCTTCTATTCAAGAAGATTTGGGAAGAGGAACAAGTGCCAACGGACTGGAAAGAAGGATATCTCATCAAGATACCAAAGAAAGGAGATCTGAGCCAAGGTGAGAATTACAGAGGTATCAGCTTGTTATCAGTACCAGGAAAAGTTTTCAACAGAGTGCTGCTGAGTCGGATGACAGACGCAGTAGATGCCGAACTTAGGGATCATCAGGCTGGATTCCGTAAGAATAGGTCGTGCACAGACCAGATTGCGACACTACGGATCATCGTTGAACAATCAGTTGAGTGGAACTCATCACTATACGTCAACTTCATTGAGTATGAGAAGGCGTTTGACAGCGTGGACAGGAGAACATTATGGAAACTTCTTCGACACTATGGAGTTCCTGAAAAGATTGTCAACATTATCCAAAACTCATACGATGGACTGCAGTGCAAAGTGGTGCATAGAGGACAACTGACAGATGCATTTCCAGTAAGGACCGGAGTCAGACAAGGCTGTCTACTCTCCCCATTCCTCTTCCTTCTAGTGATTGACTGGATTATGAAGAATTCGACATCTGAAGGGAAATACGGAATACAATGGACCTCTCAGAATCAATTAGATGATTTGGACTTCGCAGATGACCTAGCCCTCCTCTCTCATACACACGAACAAATGCAGATGAAGACCGCAAATGTAGCAGCAGCCTCCGCATCAATAGGCCTCCACATTCACAAAGGAAAAAGCAAGATTCTCAAATGCAACACGGAGAACACCAACCCAATCACACTTGATGGCGAAACTCTGGAAGAGGTGGAAACATTCAAGTACGTGGGGAGCATCGTTGATAAACAAGGAAGATCGGATGCAGATGTAAATTCGAGGATTGGCAAAGCAAGGGCAGCATTTCTACAATTGCAGAACATATGGAACTCAAAACATTTCTCAACCAATTTCAAGGTCAGAATCTTTAATACGAACGTCAAGACAGTCCTACTGTATGGAGCTGAAACGTGGAGAACTACTACGGCCATCATCAGGAAGGTACAAGTATTTATAAACAGTTGTTTACGCAAAATACTCAACATCCACTGGCCGGATACTATCAGCAACAGCGTTTTATGGGAGAGGACAAACCAGCTTCCAGCTGAAGAAGAAATTAGGAAAAGACGTTGGAAGTGGATCGGACATACATTGAGGAAATCACCAATGTGCATCACGACTCAATCCCTAACTTGGAATCCGGAAGGGAAGCGGAAAAGAGGAAGGCCAAAGAACACACTACGCCGAGAAATAGAAGCCGATATGAAAAGGATGAATAGCAACTGGAAAGAACTGGAAAGGAAGGCTCAGGACAGAGTTGGATGGAGAATGTTGGTGAGCGGCCTATGCTCCTCCACAAGGGGTAACAGGCGTAAGTAAGTAACTATTCACAACATTTTGTAAACGATAGATCCTTCCTAAAATGTTATTTTACAATAAAATAGCAAGTTCTCATTAAAATTATGATACGAAATATGTATTGCCTAATATAGATGGGACAGTACTTATCTTATTCAATAGTAAATTTTTGGTTATAGTAAAGTATTCTCAGCACATAACACGTAGAAGCATTTTACTTGACTTCTTACTTACGCCTGTTACCCCTTGTGAAGGAACATAGGCCGCCAACCAACATGTACTTATCTTAAATATTCTTTTAGTTCGTGAATATTAGGAATAAACCTATCTAAACAATAACTAGTTACAATTTGTCGATATTTACCGAAGTTTATAAACAATTATTCTTCTATGATACGTTTTCTCTCCACATTTTATATATTTGATACATGAATTCCAATATAATCAAACCTTGTTTCTACAGTGAATAGAAAGAGAAAATATACCTAAAACTGTGGTAACGTTAAATAGTAAGTAAAAATCGCACTGGAAGTTCTTTGATATTTATCAATCGTGAAGTGAGTATTTCTTCTCAATCACATAGTGAGGTTTCGATGATGTTTGTCGAATAGAAACGCTAAAGGTACATTATACACACCACAAAGTTCTGTTATAAATATTAAAGGTTGGATTCTATGTAATCAGTTTGATAGTTTCTTGATATTACTCGCAAATTTAGTTTGATATATTTGATGCCCACATTATTCTCGTAAATAATCAACATGTAATGATCTTTAATACATCTCAGATGTCAAAATTACTTCGTCAAACTGAAGACAAACAAACAGCATTTAAATGAAGAAAGTATTTCATCATGCTGTTTTTACAATATGAATTATAGTATATTAATATATGTATCTATAGGCTAGACATCAAATAAGGCTAACTGAAGTAAGCAGAGAGTAAGAACAAATAGATTTTTCTTCAAAAACTCAATAAATTAGTTTAATTATATAACTATTGTCTTAAGAAATATTATATTGATAAAAACTTATATCAATGTGGTCCAAACGCATTCTTATGGTACAGAATTTTTTTTAGCTTCAATATTTATTTTGACTAATTAACCAGTAATACTAATTATGGATGCATATAGTGTTTCAGCATTATCTGAATTATTTTCGTTACTGAGAGACGGTTTTTATGAGATATAAATTCTAAAGGTCAATAAAATAAATTACATATCTTTCTAAAATAATAGTACGAACACAAATACTATGATGAATTGATTGTATGATGACTAGAAAATAATACTATCAAATACTTTAAAAGTTGACCAAACAGAAAGTCAAATGTCTTGAAATCACGGACTAATATCATGTGGCAAGTCACTAATCACAATTCTAATTTTAATTGTTTTCTATTCTGTGTCTACTATATATATGGTGAAACTTCGCTTGTTGAATAGGTTAGTTGAACATGTATGATACTACATTAGGCCCATTGAACCATGTTAATGGTACTGGTTACGGACTATAATGTTGTTGTCAAATGCGTGGCATTAAACAAGGCATAATAGTTTCATTAATAAAACGTACGAATGACAATGTTTGTCAATCAAACAAATAAAAATCTTTAACGATTTACACGAAACAGAAAAGCATAGATATAAAATATAAATAAATGTGTTATTTATAGGCAGAAGAGATTCATTCACCTGAAAGTGGAAGAAAATAGATATTGCTGTTAGAAAAAAAAGAAATCTATTGAAAAGTGTGAAAAGGTTAAAAGTAAACTGGATGACAGAATAACATCAGGAAAGAATCAAGGAAAGGAACAAGAATATTGAACACGAAGCCTTGGATTAAAAAAAGTTATCTATAATCTAATTTCCATAAGACATTAAATAGAAAAATTATCACAGTCTGACTGAAAAAGAGATACAATGTAAATACAAAAAGGAAAAAAAACAGATATAGTTGAAAAGACAACTTTAAAGAAAAATGTGACGAGAGATGAAAGAGGTTCGCGAGGAATTACTTTGTTTTCATCTGGCAAACACAATGTTACGTGTAAAGTTGTGAAATAGCTAGTCCCATTCAATTGCATACATTAATCTTATCTGTGAAATAAACGACAAGAAAAAAAGGTTCTATACACACCTGATCATTGTTATAGGGAATATATATGTATATATACACTTTTCTTCTTTCCCTTCTTCCTTTCTGTAATTGCACACAAGCAGCGTTTAAACAGTGATAGAAAGAAAACAGAGCACCTATTTAAAGAATCTACGAAGAGAACAAACGGAAGTAAAACAACTCAGAAAGGATGAGAGACAATACAGATTTTGCACAAAACAAAACTCTGGACATTGGAGATATTATTATCATCAACATCAAAAATATGATATCGAATGATTAGCCAGGTGTTAGTTTGACCTTATTTTGAATAGGTAATGGATGCGCTTCAGAATTGAACACCCATCTATCAAGCGGTAATAAAGTATCTTCCGAAAATATTAAATAAAGGTATTTCAGTGTTTCTGCTAAGAAATACGACTGTTGAACATCATCTAAAGTAGAGTTAGTAGAGTAAACGTCATGTAAACCAGAATAGCCAGCATTTGTACGAGCATATTTTTCAATAGCCTGAAATAATATAAGCATAGAAAAAACAATAACAATAAACTAAATAAAATTAAATAATTAAAAGATAAGTACGCATCATTACCATTACAATTGGTTTATTACTGAAAAGTCATCAATGTTATGCGTGCCTAGTTCTTTAAATAGTAATTAGATTCTACCGAAAAAGTTGCAAAGTAACAACTAGTATAGATGCCTCAAAATTGTGTCCGTTTTATCGAGATTTTAGTTCGTTGAAAGTAGTCAACAGTAAACTCTGGAAGATAAAGGGAACTGCTCTCTGCGAGATTCAAAACCGGGTCAGTTGTCTTAGGATATGAAGCTGGTTCCAATCCCACATGCAGCTTCAGGATTAGATGTACGCCATTCTAACTAGTGCCAGTCAGTCAGCTACAATGTAGGATCAGGCACATATATGCATCGGTCCAAGTTGTCACACTTCTCTAGCACAACAACATGAACAACAAATTCATAGAACCACTTATTTCAATAGCAGTAATATTTAAAATAAAGATTGCACATTAGGATATATATATATATATATATATATATATATATATATATATATATATATATGGAATAAAGGTAAAAATAAGTTTAATCTCAGGGGAAGACAAACAGTGCATACACCTACACAATTCTGATCGATTCTCGTCAACGTCACACAGAGTATCCAACCAGTGATTACAATAGTCACGTGCACCACAACCAAATAGTCTGCATCTACCAACATGGCTCAGATCAAAAGTTGGTGACTTTGTTGATTGAAGCCACGTTTCGGTCTAGCCATCCCTAATTTTATTCCATCCGTCTCTAGCACTAAACAACAAGGTGTTCCGTAGTAATCAGTGGTTGAGCATGTGTAATAAGTGACCCAACTATCTCAGTCCACGGAGATTCACAACCACATCAACCGATTTACTATCAGTCCCTAGTACCCTGAGTCTAACCTCACCATTACTTACGCATTAGGGTTGGTCAGACTCCCAAAACAAGTGAAGTTGTCGACGCGTTCAGCTACTTCAATCCCTATCCTTAGTTCGAGTGTTGATGCACGTCAGTACCAACTATTATGGAACCAGCATTTAGGGTTTCTTGTCAAAGAAATTCAACCGCATTAAGTATTTATGTAATGTAACATTATTTGGTAGGATAAAGTATACATCTAAAATATTACATCTATTTTACGGAGGTTAGTTTTTTCATATTCCGTTTGCTGAAGGTTGGAACGGATAACAGTATACATAACACAAAAATTCTTGAAGGGATTATCATACTCTTTCGAATCAAGAGTTGATAAATCACCACTTACAAATCGTTTGAAAAAATGGTGCATTCAACTATGAACTAATAATATACACGAGGCATCCGAATTTCCTAATTAAATGTACAAACAGATCCTATTTTATATTCCAGAGAATTTAACCTTGAAAAAACTAATTTAAACAAATATTTACTACTTATAGCTTTTAAATAAGACCGTCCACTATCAATATACGATAATTTTGTAAAATTTAAAAACCAAGATTTTGTGGGCCTAACGAAGCCAAGGGGATTGATGAAGTTAAACTGAATTCAACGTGGTTAGCAAATAAATAAGTAAATAAAATCATTTCCAATTTTTTGTCAATTACAGATATATAAACTCGGTTTTTTGTTTACATTATTCGTGTAAGACTTAATCATACTACCCGATTGGTTAGACAGAATTAGATGGTGCAACGTTCAGATTTAATGAGTTAAAACCAAATACAGAATAAAGAAAATCCTGATACGTTCTATCGGATTAATAGTTATCGTTAGAAAATGAGGGAAAGAATATGAAGTCCACAGTAAAATAACTGAATGACTAAGTTACAGTAGATAACTGGGTTTATTATTCAGATTTATCAGAACATCTTATTTGTATTTCTTGTCAATATAATATTTAAAATTATGTGGTCAAAAACTACTGATATGTTAGCAACAAATAACTTTATGGTTGAAAATTATTGTATAGTTTTTTTAAAATTTCTTTTCAGTTATCGATTTTAGCATTTAGAGAATATGCATGATGAGATCCACGAAATTTGCATGGTGCTTAGTATATATGTAATTCATTACGAGAACCTACAATTGTTTTCTGATATTACTAGATTAGAGATGAGTTCATTTAAATGAGGCTGAGATAAGCACACTCTTTGAAAATGTATCATCTGATAATTTAAAGAAACGATGGAAAAATGTTAATAATTTATGTAAAATTTTATAATCACCACAGGTACCTGAACTACATCCCATGCCCAAGCACGATACTTTGGATCTTTAGTAAATCTCCATAAATAGAAATATGATTCCACCGTTTCTGGTCGAAGAAGATACATTTTATGAGATTGAGTAATCGCGATTGCAGAAGATTGATCAGTAAATGAAAATATTTCTGGACCAAGACCTGTTGATGCACTATCGTAACTTCTTCTACAAGTATCAGTAATTTCAACACCACGTTGAAACCATGGATCATTTTTATCTGATGCACTGAGAGAGAGCATGCCGCCTAAATGATAAACGTAATAATAATGAAATTAACAATAATCGACACCAAAAGAGAAAAAGCTACGAAAAATTGATTCACGAAGTATTGATATTAAAATTCCTGCATGTATACATCAGTTTATCAAATAAATACACGAATTGAGGTCATACAAGCGTCATTACAAAATTATTAGTATACCGATCTTAGATCCTTATTCTTATTAAGGGTAATACGACTGTTCCATCTCAACTTCTATTATTTGAAAATATTGTTGATATTTCTCAGAAATCAAGCTCTTCAGTTATTTTATCATTTTAAGTCCGTATCGTTCCAGTACCACCCTCGTGTGTCTATTTCCGGTCTCGAGAACGAAAAGAAATTGTTGAAAGCTAAGCCTGGTGAGTAGTAAGGTGACTGAAATCAGGTTATAGACTATAAGATGACCGCTGCTAAGTGTACAGGAGAATTGGGGTGATCTAACAAATATTCCTACAAACATTTCTCATTTGTTGACGTTCCAATGGTAATCAGTAAATAAAAAACTCAGTTAACACTTACCAACAAAACAAGCCAAATGATCCATTGAATTTGAAATAGCGCCATATTTGTATTTGCCAACATAAAGTAAATTATGTTGAGGACTTTTATGAAATAAGCCAACTTTTAAGAATGATTCTAAACTAGAATTGTATAATTCAAGAGCTTTCACATCTTTATGATCAGTACGAATCCATTCTTTTAATAAATATTCATAAAATGAATCAGCTAATGCAGAGAGACCAGCTTCTTTACCACACCATGATTTTGTATTCGGATCCATAAAATTAAAAAATAATCCATTAGGTCTGTCCACTTCTTCCAAAACCTTACGAATAACATCAACCTGATATGAAAAGATCGTGGACAGAAAATAAAATAATAGTAAAAATTATGTAAATCTATTTTGACAGCGTTTCATCTAGTCAAGGAGTAATATCTGAAAGTTTATGTGCATGTAGACTACTAAACAATAGTTTTTACTGTTATTATTATTACTGGAATACGAATAAAGATATTTCACTGACTTGGAAAAAATGGACTTTCTAAAACTCTCATTCTCTACAACTGTTAGCTGCGATATCATATAATAATGACATATACTGTTATACAGGTGTTAGCATATTTATATAATGACGTTGGTGAGAATACAAGATGATAAGATCAATAGTGCAGATTTAGCCTTATAAATACATGGGGGAGTGATAATAATGCAGTATAGTTGTTAACTTTCGTTTCGTTGAAAAAAACTAACCAAGTTTTCCACTACTGACAAAATGCAGGTTTATTTACTCAGCCTTGAGTTAGTGTCATGCTATATACAGCCGCATAAACCGAAATTAGTTAGGGGTATGGGTCAAATCTGTGAACTACTGGTTGGTTGTCTAAGTGACAAACTAATTAACAATTGTTAGGATTTTGTTTTGCTGATCTACCTATTTCATAATAAGTTGATTTAATTCATTTTAACAACTTGTTATATCCTGTATTTTGTTATATTATTTCATGCTTGTAGTTATTGTAAATAAAAAACTACGTATAATAGGCCCATAGAGATTATTGTGATTGGTATATCTAACTACTATTAACTCACTGTACTTTTATTTATAAAAATTACTTGATAATCTTCAATGTTATCATTTTATATACAGTCAATCACAATTAAAGAATCCGAAAAAGAAAATCACTTTTCTGAACATTATGAAGACAAATAGAGAGCAAAAAAGGATGATTACAAAATTGTGTATGAAATAATTTCAGTTTAGAAAAGTTCATTTTTATTGACTTTTATTTTTAGGAAAAAATTCTGATCCTTTATATTTGTATTACTTATCAAAACTTTATTATAGAAATCGTTGATAGTATATAAAATCATTTATAAACATCTATCTTAATTCATTTTTGCATTGGATGTTTGAATTTTCCCATTAATGTTTCGGACTGCAATTGATCAGCCTCTTATTGACAAATATGCGTCCTGTGTGGAATACCTCGATATTACCTTAGGTCACAATTATTCTAAGCAAAGATGAATAATGGCTAGCAGTGGGATCCATGACGCTCGTTTCGTCCTATTTTAAGACTCTTCACAGCTGGATGTACCTACATCCCACAGTTGATGTTCACTCCGGGATTCGAACCCAGTACCATTCGCTTTAAACTTCATCGTGTTATCTATTAATCTTTTTTAGAAATGGTAATTCTCAGGGATGATTAGAATAAAAAATATATTTTACAATCTGGTATGAATTATTATAATCAATAAAGAAAATTACCAACTATAAATATGATTTGTATACCGAGCAATTACTCAATTATATTAAGATGTGGAATAAATGATAAGCTATTTGATATGAAATATATTCAGATTGTAATGAATGAAGAAAAAAAGTATGTATGTGTATGCAAAGCTTATTTATAAACTATTGAACATAGAAATGAATCTAGGCTATTATGGTTAGAAACTAATTAATTAATTTGAATAATAGTCACAAATTGAGCATTTTATAGGATGTATGCAAGTAACTAGACAAAATTATGTTTTATTTTTGAAGAACAAAGAGTATTAAGCTATACAGTTATAAATACAAACTTATTATTATTATTATGGTGTTACAGCAGACATGAAGTTATTTTGTAGAGCTTTATGAAGAATTTATTGAAAATGGTCGTTTGGTCAAATACTCTTTGTTCTTGAATATGTTGTGCGTGTTTATGTCGTTATGTTAAACACAGTGGTTGTCAAGAGGATATCTAACACGTAATAACTGACTGAACAATGGAATGTACGTCGTTGTTTTTCAATTACATGCGATAAAATAGTAGTAATAAATTAAATTTACTTATTAATAAACCGTTACCATAGTGCAGTTAATTGTACTCTATCTGGTCTTTTTAAATTGTTTATGTTTCCCCATACATTCAGGCCATAAAGTGTAAAAACCAGAATCTTTTTGAAGAACATTTATTCAATTGAAATGTGTTTTGTATTCTATTTTATTAAATGTAGTACTATCACCAATTTATTTTCCAGATTTCTGAGGATTTAGGAATACTCTTCGAGCATAGATTGTGTTGTTTCCTCTTCACACAAAACTGTGTTAGTGTCTCACATATACAAGCCGACAATCAGTATATTTTACATCTTAGACGTAAATCTAATTAAGAACTAAGTCTTGTTCGCACATAAATGTGCTCTTATATTATTTTTTACTGAAGATCGTACACGTTTCTTCCAAAGTTCCTTTGTGTTACGAGACGATTACCGATACTAGTACATAGTCTCATATTTGAATGTAAAAACCAATGGGAATCAAATAATAGGAGAAAAACTAACACAATAATCATAAGATAGAATGCAAGAAAAAGAATGGGTTGTTTACTCGATTGTCAGGACAGATTACACAAGAAATATATTTATTGCTACTACTGCAGTTACTGTAATACACACAATGAAATTGTGATATTTTCCCTAAGAAACACTGAAAATATCCAATGCTGGGTAAATATTTTGAAAGTGATCTATTCCCTCAGCCGGATGATGGTGAAGTTTTCATTATTTTCTACACATCATCAGTATGAACTTTAAAAAAAGTGGGTTATTAAAACGTCTCCACAACTGACTAACAGCTTGTTCTGTCAACCAGGAATTTGATGCGTGTTATTTGCATGTTTATTCTGTTTGTCTTTGCTTCCAACTAGATCTTTGACATCAAAACTGTCTATGCTTTTTCTTACAGACTGATACAATTGAGACCATTGGTTAGAAACGTCTTGTGACAGCCCAGAATCAGTCGTAATGGTGCGAGTCTATGTTTTCTGTATTTTACTTTATACTTCGAGTCTTTGTATTACTTTATACATAATTTCCCATTCTGTCTTTCTGAATCATATTTTTTCACTGTCAATACTACTACTACTACTACATTATTCTGACTTGCTCACGATTTATCTTACTAATGTGGTATATCAGTTCGAGCTAACACATGCTTATGCCTTGATTTATGTTGATTATGACTCATTGATACCAACTTTCACGATTGAAGGAAAAATAGGGAATCATAAACTTTATCGTCGCGTCCTTAATTAGTAAATTTAAAATTACAAATTAGATTCCATTAACTCAGACTTTGTCATCTTTATTCTTTCATAGTCAGTCCTGATAATCAACCGATTTAGTATTTTTCTTTTCAATTGAATTTTGCTTGATTATTATTATTATGTTCATTACATTTTAGTCGGTATTTGTTATTTTATAACGAAAATATGAATTTCACGTCCTGTGCGACAGCTAAAGCGTTGATCACTACCACAATAGGAATGTAACTTAAATGTTATTGGACTAACTAACCAGAGTAAGATATTAGATTTATGCACCAGTTCATGTTTAGATTATTTTAAATAATGAGTTTAATTTTATTTTACAATCTATTCAATAATTAAACCATATAACTGAGATCCTATTATGAGTTAATTTGCAGACAGTCAGCTCACTACTGATAATTTGTTGCTGTATGAGCGTAAACCTGGATTCTACATCAAATAATGAACATAGTAAAAAAAGCGTTTTGAGTCATTAGCTTAAGTTAGTCAGCATTATCAAAACTGACAGTGAATTCCAGTCAAGTGTGAAGTAATATGTTAATTGTAGCCCTTACATTCTAAAACAAAACAGACTACAGGAAATAGACATTTCCGTATAAATTATTTGTGATTTGTTTTTCTATTTTCTTTTTATCTGATATGAATTTTATACTGCATGTGCTTTTTGATCACTACTACCCAATAACTAAGAACAAAAACAAAAAAATATAGATTTTTATACAAAAGAAAAGATGCGTACCATGCTACAAACGGTTTTTACACTATTTCCAACTTCTTTTTTCTTATTTACACAAAATAACGACAAGAAAAGTAGCTTTATAACTTTTGAAAAAAAACAATGAAAAGTTTATCTTCCATATTAGACATATTGTTGTATATAATTTTTGGATTGATCTACACACTAATTATCAAATATCGTGCAAGACATTCACAACGCAAACATATATATAGAATTTTTTATGTCTCTCTAAACTCATGAACTGATGATAGAGGATGGAGAAGTCGAGGGTGTCAACCACTTAACTAATCTTAGAATTCCCATCAAGCCAAATGGATTGATGTCTGATGAAATCTCACGATATATTTAGAAAGGTTGGTTGACTCTGTCAACTTGCGTCACTTGTGGCTTAGGCGAGATGTCCAGCTGCAAACCGAAGGACGAGTATATAGTGGAGAGATTTGCTCTCTTTAACCTCATGCCTATGAGACGTGACCTGTAAAGATAGAGGATATTCTTAAGTTAACAGTATTTGTCGTAGATACATTTGAAGCATTCCTGGAGTATATTGAGGTCATAGAGTGAGGAATGCTGAGATACTAGACAAAGGGTATTGGGTAAGTTCTCAAATCAATTCATAAGGTAATGAATATTTATCGACTGAGATAGTCAGGACATGTATTACGTAAGCCTAATCACCGACTATCGCGATAACGGCTAGTTTAACGGCAGGTTAGAAGAAAGCTAAGGATGGCCAAACTAAGACACGATATCAATTAATGAAGACATCGGCTGTTGGACTATCTGGTTGGGATCTGTTTAATGATAGTAACTAATTTTCAGGGACTTTAGGTGACATAGCTTAAAATCGCCAGCAATGAAGCAAAAATGCAATTAATTTGTCATTCTGTAGATTCTAAGTTCCTAAATCACGTTATAAATCTGTTTTCCATTTCATGAATTCTCGAATCGTTCTTTCGATGCTTAGTCTTTTCTCTTACTACTGATACTGCTACAACCCCTATTACTCTGGGATTTGCCCCAACTATTTCATCTTATCGTGTTAATGGGGTGAGGCAACTTAGACCGACATCCATATGTGCCAGATTTTAACAAATGATGACTGACTGTCATTCCACAAGGCAGTGGAGCATCGCGAGGAGATGCAGTCCCATGGTAACCGGTGAACAACGATTGATTTATACGCCATTTGTTCCTTCAAGATACTGGAGCTCTTGTGCACCAAATGTTTGGAATCAAGGTTTTCCAACGCCCCTAGGTGGACTCGCCTTGTCCACCAATCCGGTTAAAGCACCGGACATTCGGTTTTCGTCCTCTCAATTTCGTAAACAACACCTGTGGTGCGAGAAGGCAGTGAGTAGGACTTCCCTGACAGAGGCTATATATTCGCGTGGCCATATGAGAGCATTTGGAGAGGGAGAGCGGACTTTCTCCACTCTCGGCCATACCAGGGCATTTGGGGGCTCTAAGTGATTCTCTACCTATAATATCAGTTCCATTAATTTTATAACTACACAAATTACTACAATATACATCTAAATAACTGTTATTAAAATTAACATTTTTTTGATTATGAAAGAATACAACCACTGAGTCAATTATCTTAACGTTTATTTATAGATTGAAATAATACACGTGAATTAACGGATGTTAGTGATAATATAAAGAATATTTTTCAGTTCATAAAAACAATCATTTATCCAATAACTGATGATGTATAGATGCGTGTCAATAAAGTAAAAAAAACGATGTATAGTCAATCAATCTTTCTATATAAGAGAAATATTGACATGGATTACTAATGATTTCGAGTGAATAAGATGATTAAAAATGATTGTTACTGCATTTTTGAAATAGACACGTTTATTTAAATAAAAATGACCATATTTTCACAAACAGATACTGTGTATCAACTTGTCATATAACTCATTTTGGCGAAAATAGACTTAGCTAAAAATTTAATAATTTTACTAGTCAATTGTTAAAAAAAAGCATGACGACTAAATATTGGTGTTCTACTGTTTCCACAGTAAAAGCGAAACTTATCGTTATGCCAACTATAAAAAAATGTAGTTATTATTATTTTATTAATCGATTATTTAAATATCAACAACACACTATAAATAGTGTGTGTTCTGGCATATAAATGATATGAATTTGATTTCATTCACAATAAATTATAACAACCCAGCGTAAATGACTTTTGGGAATGAAAAAAAAGTAAATCGAATACACTTAAGAAAAACAGTAATCTAAATGTAGACTGTACTTGAAATGCAGTTTAGCGATTGAAAAAAATAAAACTTAGTGTACAAGGTGTACAAATATTAACTCTTTACTAGTGGCGTGAATTGAATACTCTTATTCCTCTACTAAATTAGATTTTACGTAATGAAAAAATAGGATTCAAGAGTTTAAAATAGACAATCTGCTAATAAACAGTTTCAAAATAGAAAAAAATCCATATGAATTAAAGTGGAACACTTATACGATAGAAAAACATAAGTATACTGGATGTAATAATTAGTGAGGTAGAACTAGTGAAAAATCTTCTTTGTTTTTTCTGCAGTAATACATAAGTATAACAATGCAAACGTAATCACAATAATTATCATAGATGATAATCACTTTTACGAAGATATTGTGAATTGAACTGTTGCTTATCGATAATTCAATATTGTTGAAATAAGCTACATCTTTTAATCTTAGAATGCGAAGAATAACAACATTAATGATTTAATTCCAGATCGGACTGATTAAAAAAATGTTTTGAATACAGGTTTCATGTTTATTGACAACAGTCAAGAAGTGATTTTTAACCTTGAAAAAAACTCATGATTCATCTCACATGCGATCATTTGGAGTCATCGTTGAAGCATTTTTGGTTCTAAATCAATTTCTGACAGGTAACCAGCACAGAGCCGATCATATTCTACCAAGTAATGGGGTTAGTATAACGGCCAAAAAACTATATGGACTGGGATCATATAGTTAAGTTTCCATACAGGATGACTACAAAGTCAAGGATGTTGTTGCGTTTTTGAAAATTACGTGAGTTTTAAACTGTAATGATTAAACTGTTTTTTTTTTCAGCACACTTATGTAACACTAGGTCAGTGGGAAACAAGTTATGGTGGGGGAGGGTTAAACAGTTCTTATTATTATTTTATATAAAAAGTAAGCAAACTACTTGAAAACTGACCTTTTCTGAGTAGACTGGATTACCAGTTAACTCAGAAAGATATTTAAATTCCATATGTAATGTACCAAACTCTGATAGAATTGAACATCGACCATTTGCCCAGACAAAATTCTGTTTATCTCCCCTAAAGTAATGCAGAACAAAAGAATAGTTCTAAAATCATATTAGATAGAAAAAAGTTTCTTAATAATTTAAGTGTAGGCAGAACAAGAGAATGAATTATTTAGCAAAATAATTCTTATTTTCACTTTTGCAAGCAGAATTGGTTTTATTTAAAGAGATCTACAGAAGAGTATGCAGAACAAGGGACCATCAACAGATGTGTTCTTTCCGAAATGGTTTGAAACAACTATAATTGAATCAATATATGATAAACGTTTTAATCAACACTTTGACAAGATCTTTCGAATAATTTTTAAAGGAATAAACAAGATTAGAGTTATTTAGATTATTTTTTATGTTTGAACGAGTGTTAATTGTATGAAACATACAATCCTTTGAATACAACAAAATTTGTGGGCACTAAACGAAAGGGATGAGTTTCGTGGAAATAGCGTCAACTGTTGATTCAGTTAACTGCAAACAAATTAGAACTGATATATTGTCCAAAGATATCAACAAATCTGTAGGCCTAGTAACTGCAGTCAAACGAACGTTGTTGATGGTCAAAGAATGAAACGATTTGATAGGAATTTAAAAATGATTACAAAGACATTAGTAATAACTGGCTAATTCGGTTCGCATAGTATAAGAAGCGCTTATACAAACATTACGTTTCAATATCGAGCACGTTTGAACTAAGTAAGTGGATTGCATCCTGAAAAAATGAACAAAAAAACACTCGCCTTCAAGCAACACGCTTAATGTAACTGTCGACCTTCTGAAATGAAATTATGTAAAACAGGTTTCAAACCCGTCATGAATGTTTTAACTATTAAGCCAATACTTAGTGCTTAAAAGTATCCAAAAACAGTAGGCACTCAGAGTATTATGATTTCATTGCAAACACAATTTGACAGGACAAAAGCGTGCGGCAATTCAAATACAAATGTTTACTAATTAAGATGGGATTTGTAAACTCCATTAACTGAACATTTAAGATATCCAGAAACTCAATTACCAACTATGCCATTACGATAAAACAAACTTTCATTGAGAGTACAGACACCGTTAATTTATGTAAATATCTTTTTAAATAAATAAAACTCCGCCTGTAGCTCCTCTGGGGGTTGCTGCCGGTCCCAAGCCCGGGTAAAGCAGGAGGGTTGGGCATGGGGTTAGCGACTCCATCCCGTAGAAAATCAACTCGCTAAAAAAACGCTAACCAGAAAAAATCATTCAAACCATTTAAACTCTGCCCTGGGAGTAGAGGGAATAATTATGACGTCTCATGATGAAAGCCGAGCTCCTTCGGAAGTCATGAGGCCGATGCACCTTCTTACAACCAGAGCGACAATTTTTATAGGTACATGGAATGTCCGGACAATGTGGGAGACCGGAAGAGTCTTCCAAATTGCTGCAGAAATGAGAAACTACAACCTGGAGGTGCTTGGAATCAGTGAAACGCATTGGACGCAAGTTGGACAACAACGACTGTCTTCAGGAGAACTTCTGTTATACTCCGGTCATGAAGAAGAAAATGCCCCACATACACAAGGAGTTGAATTGATGCTGTCCAGAAAAGCACAAAATGCACTTATAGGATGGGAATCTAATGGACCAAGGATCATCAAAGCCTCCTTCAAAACAAAGAGAGAGGGCATTACAATGAACGTCATCCAATGCTATGCGCCGACCAACGACTACGATGAAGACCAATTCTACGATAGGCTGCAGTCGATCTTCGAGAAGTGCCCAACCAAGGACCTGACCATTCTGATGGGAGATCTCAACGTTAAGGTTGGAATGGGTAACACTGGATACGAAGACGTCATGGGACGACATGGACTGGGAGGAAGGAACGAAAACGGTGAGAGATTTGCAAACATATGTGCCTTCAATAAACTGGTCATAGGTGGCACCATATTCTCACACAAAAACATACACAAAGCCACTTGGATTTCACCGGATCACACTACACAGAATCAAATCGACCATATCTGCATCAACAAAAAGTTCAGGAGGACGATGGAGGATGTGAGAACCAGAAGAGGAGCTGATATAGCATCCGATCATCATTTGCTGGTCGCCAAGATGAAACTAAAACGTAGGAAGCAGTGGACAACGGCGCGGACAACATCACAAAAGTTTAATACGGCCTTTCTTCGAGATGCTGACAAACTCAACAAATTCAACATAGCCCTCAGCAACAGGTTCGAGGCCTTTCATGACCTACTCAATGGAGAGGGAACCACCATAGAGAGCAGCTGGAAAGGTATCAAGGAGGCAATCGTTTCAACATGTCAGGAGGTTCTGGGCCAAAAGAAGCACCATCACAAGGAATGGATCACTGTTGGTACACTGGATAAAATTGAAGCAAGGAGGAACAAGAAGGTAGCAATCAATATCAGCCGAACAAGAGCAGAAAAAGCCAAGGCACAAGCCGAATACACAGAGGCAAACAAGCAAGTGAAGAGGAGCATCAGGACCGACAAACGTAAATATGTGGAAGATTTAGCAATGACAGCGGAAAAGGCTGCAAGAGAGGGAAACATGAGACAATTGCATGATACAACCAAGAAACTTGCTGGATATTACCGCAAACCAGAAAGACCAGTTAAAAGCAAGGAAGGCAAAGTAATCACGGACATTGAAGAACAACGAAACAGGTGGGTAGAACACTTCAAAGAACTCTTAAATCGACTAGCTCCACTGAACCCACCCAACATCGAAGCAGCACCCACAGACCTCCCAATCGATGTTGGCCCACCAACAATTGAAGAGATCAGCATGGCCATTAAACAAATCAAGAGCGGCAAAGCAGCGGGACCAGACAACATCCCGGCAGAGGCACTGAAAGCAAATGTAGCAGCAACTGCCAAGATACTCCACATCCTCTTCAGCAAGATTTGGGACGAAGAACAAGTACCAACAGACTGGAAAAAGGACTTCTGATCAAAATACCAAAGAAAGGCGATCTTAGCAAGTGCGACAACTACAGGGGCATCACTCTCCTCTCAATACCAGGGAAAGTCTTCAACAGGGTATTGTTAAACAGGATGAAGGATTCCGTGGACGCCCAACTTCGAGATCAACAAGCTGGATTTCGTAAGGATAGATCGTGCACAGATCAAATCGCAACTCTACGTATCATTGTGGAACAATCAATTGAATGGAATTCATCACTCTACATCAACTTCATCGACTACGAGAAGGCATTTGATAGCGTGGACAGGAAGACACTATGGAGGCTTCTTCGACACTACGGCGTGCCTGAGAAGATAGTCAATATCATACGGAACTCCTATGATGGACTAAACTGCCAAATCGTCCACGGAGGACAACTCACCGATTCGTTTGAAGTAAAAACTGGTGTAAGGCAAGGTTGCTTACTCTCACCCTTTCTCTTTCTCCTGGTCATCGACTGGATCATGAAGACGTCAACATCTGGAGGAAAGCACGGGATACAGTGGACAGGCAGGATGCAACTTGACGATCTAGACTTCGCGGATGATCTGGCTCTTCTATCACACACGCAACAACAAATGCAGGAGAAAACGACCAGTGTAGCAGCAGCCTCAGCAGCAGTAGGTCTCAGAACAGAACATTCATATTCCCATACATAATGAGGTCAACTACATGTAACTTAACTTATTATGATTATGCTTTCAAATACACTATAAACTCAACACTTTAATTAGAAAAATTCGTTAAAAATATTACTGATAAGTATGCCTAAATAAAAAATACGCTTTTTCGATAAATGATGCAAAGATAAGAGGTTTAAAGTATAAATTTGTGTTTATACTAATGTAGGTAAACAGACATGAAAACTTATGCAAAATAACGATGATCTGAAATACGTACATGGACTAGATTTGAGAAAAAAAAACATCATGATCGATATTACAAAAAAACAAAACTATGATTTTACGGTTAGTTAATTAAACCTAGTGTGTATTATTAATAAAATTAAGAATACAACTCTGCTAATGCACTAAATGTGAAATTTTTGCGTTTGCCCCCAAATGCCCTGGTACGGCCGAGAGTGGGGAGAGTCCGCTCTCCCTCTCGAAATGCTCTCACATAGCCACGCGGATATATAGTCTCTGTCAGGGAAGTCCTACTTACTGCCTTCTCGCACCACAGGTGTTGTTTACGAAATTGAGAGGACGAAAACCGAATGTCCGGTGCTTTAACCGAATTGGTGGACAAGGCGAGTCCACCTAGGGGCGTTGGAAAACCTTGATTCCAAACATTTGGTGCACAAGAGCTCCAGTATCTTGAAGGAACAAATGGCGTATAAATCAATCGTTGTTCACCGGTTACCATGGGACTGCATCTCCTCGCGATGCTCCACTGCCTTGTGGATCAGATCTTTCGGTCAAAGGCTCGAGGTGTGGCCTCCTAAGAAAACCACCTGCTTCAGTCTGGGCACCTGGGCAGTATCACAGCCCTCAAGCAAATCGAATGAGATTTGTGATGTGCATATGTATCTGGTGCTTCTTTGTACCAATATTTCTGTGTTTAAATAAATAAATAAATAATCACTTAGTAATTTGTAACTCCATTATTTAGCTGTAAGTACTACAAAACTGTGTTGCCCGCTACAAATTATGACGTGGATATTTTTAGCTCAGGCGAATGATTTAGGTAGAGTTCTGTTCTCTGAGCTGAATGGTTATGTCGTAGCGCTTTCATTGTTTTTCTGAACAACTTCAGGTAGAAGCTCCACAACAAAACTATCCAGCTCAGAGAACAAAACTCCACTTTTATGTTGATGTATTTTGACAGCAACAATAAATTCTACAGAATGGCTAGCTTGAGTTGAAAGAGAAATAAACTTTATTCACACTATTGACACATAATACGATAACCATGAGCAATTTGAAATAAACCGCTGAATAATATTGTTCCATTCAGTATTAAATTCAATGAAGTGAAGTGTATGAGCTCAATCTAAAAATTACCAGATATGTATAATCACAATGTCTTAAGGAATATACAACTGGGAAAACGTATCATAAAACTAACTTGAACTGATGAACCAGATTAAAGAAAATAAAATGGAAAAGTAAACAGGTGTGCATACAAACTCAACCGTAAGGTTGTAAAAATTGAAACACTCATCAGTATATTTCAAGCAAAGGATACAATATAACAAAGAGTTAAATGTTAAATCAATGAAGGCACGCACACACACTACCATTTTGTTCACCATGTTTGCCAGTAACATACAATATTTTCAGTTAGCAAAAGTAAAAAGAAAAACATTGTCATTTACGTTTTCAAATTGATTAAACTCATTGGAATTCCACTAGGTGTATCAAATGCAGGTAATAAACGTTGAGCAAGTTCAGCCGCCTTGGTCAATAAAATCTGGAGTAAAAAACATAAACAAAACAACAATGAAGATAGGTCGTAAATATGAAGAAAAAACAAAGAACACACTTATTATAAATTAAAATGAAATAGTCATTTATGAAAATTAATGTTTATAAAACAGTAATTCATTGTTGTTTACATATTGTTTTTACAGAGAATTATTTCAGGCTCTAAAGGTACATTTTACCTTCGTAGAATTCGTCAAACTTCATAATTAAAATAACCAGGAGGAGTATGAGATAAATGCTACAGATGACAATGAATGATGCACAAGTGTTATTGTCAAATAACTGTAGTTGAGAATTTATACTACTTGTTTCCAATTCAATGATCTGTACGTGAAGTGATCGCTGTGAGACCTGAAGGCCTTTGTTCAAGGCTTCAAAGCCCTATACTAGAATGATACATTTATCCAATTCTTCGTAATTTTCAGTGTTTGTCTCAATGAAATCATTATGTGTAAATCTACAAAATTACAGAATAAACAGTGTTTGATAAACTCGAAGATTTATTAAATTTATCACACACGACGCAGTAGCCTAATTAAAATTCAGTTGAGCTAATCAAAGTATAATGGTATGTTAAAAAATATGAATTACTTTTGTCACTAGGTAGCAATGGAAGATGACCGAACGGAACACATTGAAGTTAACAAAATACATTGTTTACTTTTGCATGACATTATTTATCAAACATAAGTTTTCATAACTAAATAACAAACTGTTTTTATCTAAGAAGTATTGAAAACTTATTTAGACTAAATGAGACTGCAGTTTCGGGGACAAAATTTATGGTGTAAATATTGCTATTCAATGTATGCGCCTTTAAACTGAAGTTGTAGAGTTTGATATAAACAAAATAGGATAAAACGTAAAGAAGAACTGCTCATATATTATTATGCTGAGTGAAAGTAGTGCAGTGAAATGAATATCTCATGTCTGTCTCCATTTCTCTGTGTAATGAGCATAGGCCGCTGACCAGCATTCTCCAACACACTCTGTCCTGGACCTTCCTTTCTAGTTCTTTCCAATTTTTGTTCATTCTTCTCATGTCTGTCTCCATTTATCGGCTTAATGTGTTCTTTGGTCCTCCTCTTTCCCTTTGGCCTTTACGATTCCATGTGAGGGCTTGTCTTTAGACTCAGAGCTTCGCCCTTTCGTGGTAATCGGTGTTCAGGCAAACGTAACACGTGGCCCAACCATCTCAGTTGACGAAAATTCACAACCTCAACAACTGTTTTACCATCATTCTCTAATACCCTGTGTTTAATCTCACTATTACTTACCCGGTGATCCCACCAGATGAGAGCAATGTGTGTAAGACATCCGTGACCAAATACTAGTTACTTATGAGTATCCTCTATCCTTAATGGCCACGTTTTGCAGCCGTAAAGCAGAACAGAGCGAACTGCTGTGCAGTATACTCGTCCCTTAATTGATACACGGATATCTCGTCTTCGCCATAGGTGACGTAAGTTGGTAAAAGCCAAACGAGCTTTTTGAATCCGTGCTGAGATTTCGTCAGAAACCAATTCATTAGGACTGATCAGACTTCCAAGATAAGTGAAGTTGTCGACGCGTTCGACTACTTCAATCCCTATCCTTAGTTCAGGTGTTGACGCAGGCGAGTCCTGGAGAAACAGTTTACATTTAGAGGGGGGGAAACGCATTCCAAACATCCTGGAATTGTTACTCAGTGGTAACAGAAAACTCTGCATTTTATCAGCGTCTTCACCAAATAGGGCTATGTCGTCTGCGTATTCTAAATCGATAAGTGAACCTCCTGGATTATGACGATAATCCAATTGGTGTCACTATATTGAAACGTCGACTTCAGTGGCTTGGACGTGTTCTACGAATGTCACCCCAGAGAATTCCTCGTCGTTCATTATTTGCCGACACTGGGACTGGTTAGGAAAAACGAAGAGGTGGTCAGTGTATGACATGGTGTTGTGGTATGCAAGAAAGCCGTACAGGATTGGTTTCAGTTAGTCCTTCACGACTCCCTGGTTGTGGTCCGAGAGATGGTGCATCACAGTGGCTTAAGACGTTATCAGATATGGCTCAGAATAGAAGCCAGTGGCGATCATGCTGTAACATTATAAAAAAAACTTCATAAAAAAAAATGGATGTAACTTCTTTAACTGGAAGAATTCTTCCCGGTTGTACCTTTGCTAACTGAACTGCTTCTTCCATTATAATTATTTCACTATCACAAACTAATTTGTGTTCGTTATTAATCCTGTTTTTCTTATACACACCTTACATTCTCTATCTCTTCACATTCTCATTCACTTATCTTGGAAGTCTGATCAGTCCTATATGTATCTGGTGCCAATTTGTACCAATATTTATGTGTTCAAATAAATAAAAATGACTGTCGAATGATGAAGTTAATCCTCTGTAATACAATTTAACCAAGTGCTGACCGTGAACAGTTATATATATATCAGTGTATCACAGTAATGACATCTTTATTAAGACAGATACGCACAAACAAATATATAATCAATCAACCACGATAATATTTATGATTATAAGGTGAAAAACAAACAAACAAAATGAATAGTAATTCGAGATAATAAATTTAGAATAGCTAAAAGAAATATTTAGTTAAGAATTGTAATATGATTAGTTGTAAGAGTAGGGAGAGGATTTCATTCCACGATCTGAATGATCGGTTATAAACTAGTCAAAATCCCAGTGAAAGGGTTGGTTTAGATTTAGTCAAATTAGTTGTTATTTTATGCAAATCGTACTACTTGTTTATATAAAACAAAAACAAAGGATATGCTCAGATTATTCAATTTATTATGCTACTGAGAATAAAGAACAAGAAGGATAACAGAAAGACTCATAGCTTGAGAACAAGTTATTATTTTTTTGAATTTAGTATAAAAAGTCAAATTCGGTGTACATTTTTTTCATTTCAAAAAGTTTAATTTGAACCACACAAGAGATATCAACTAAATCAGCGGGCTGACATGATAGATATATTAGTATCGCTGGGAATTCACAGTATTTTCATAGTTGAAAGCGTGAGTCGATTTGAGCTAGACCACTATGGAAAACCTGAAAGCAACTGGACGGCCGTTTCGGCCTATTATGGGACTCCTCAGCAGTGCGCATCCACGATCCCGCAATCGCGAGATTCGAACCCAGGACCTACTAGTCTCGAGCCAGAGCCCTTAACCGATAGACCATTGAGCCGGCATCCAACGGTGTTAATGTCTAACTTCAACTGATCCAAGAAGTTGAGCAACTGTTCACCAATTATCTTCAGTGAGTTGTTATCTCATAACAGATGTGGTTTGAACTCCACTGGTCACTGCTTCTTACTAGAACTCTTGGATGTACTTCACGAATTCAGTCACTAGTGAGCATATGATTATATTAATTATCAGAAGGGGTTTTGTGGAGATTTAGTATTTTCATAGGGCGAAACGGCCGCCCAATGCTTCCAGGTTTTCAATGGTGGTCTAGCTTCAATTGATTTACGCTTTCAACTATGAAAATACTAAATCTCCACAAAACCACTTCTGATAATTAATTCATAGTATATTTAGTTCACTGTGTAGAAAGTGGAAACAATTTTTGTTACGCATGAAATTTTAGAAAGTCTAATGTTTAGAGAAACACTTTTACAAAGTACAACACATGGGCTCCAGTATCCTGAAAAAGAACAAATGGCGTATGAATCAATCGTTAGTCACTGGCTACCATGGGACTGCATCTCCTCACAACGCTCCATTGCCTTGTGGATCAGATCTTTAGGTCGAAGGCTCCGGGTGTGGCCCCCTAAGAAAACCACCTGCTTCATTTTGGGCACCTGGGCAGTATCACAGCCCTCAAGCAAATCGAATGAATTTTTATTTTTATTTCATTTATGTGGCGCATATATATCTGGTGCCCCCTTGTACCAATATTTATGTGTTTAAAGAAATATACCTTTGTTTAGAGCGAATAGTACTTCGTTTGGGAATACAAGTTAAGTTCAATCCTTTTCAGCTTTATTTATAGAGTGGAATGTTATATTTTATAAAAGGGGATGAAATTAACCTGAAAACAATTAGTTCGTACATTAGTCTATAAATAGGCATGGTAACACTATATTCTTTGGTCGATAAAATTTTATGAATTACTTAGTGTAGGTTATGACAACATTTCATCATGAAAACAAACATTACTAATTTTTTTCAAAGATGAATGATAATTTTGTCCGGAATAACCTTGACCGGTTATAATACATAGATACAATAAGAAAAAGAGAATTTAGCGAAGAAAATTTTCTTTTCGACAAAATCATTTACTTAATTATTTGTGGACATGTTGCTCTAAAGGACTCGTCTTTCAAAGTAATCTACCGAGTCATAGGAACCGGATCGAAGGAGAATCAAGTCAATATTTCGTGCACTTCTGAGGCATTGGAAATCCACGAACTCAAGTCTGAACTTTGAGTGCAGAAACGACTTGTTCAACTTCTCACCCTTCCTTGGCCCTAATTCCCTTAATGGGTATGTTTCTGGTTGTTGTTTTTTTACTGCACTTTTATTTGATTGTTATCGATATTTTGTTTTTCAAATTACTGTTTTGCATTTTTAATTCTAATCAGTTATTATTCTTACCTTTTCTTGATTAACATATATAAGCTTATATATGTTGTTCTAAATCACAATATGGGAATTTTTCAAATTTTCTTGATTAGTATTCAGTCTATTATTATAAACTTCATGTTTGTCGCTTTTTTTTTCATATCTGTCCATTGGACTATTATCTGCCTTACCCCCTGATTAGGACGTAACCTCATTTGTTATTCATTTTTGAATCAATTTATAATGCAATCTTTCTTAGCCTCCTATAGACATATATTTACCATATAACTGTATATACGAATGTACAGCACAAGTAAATGATTTCATCGAAAAGAAAATTTTTTTCGCTGAATTCCTTTCTTCTTATTCAATGACATGGATAGCATTTTTTCCACATTATATTATTCTAAAGAACTTTTAATTTTGCATCGGAGAAATGTTTAACACTTGGATAAAACACAATCATATGAACGAAGAATATTTGGACATAGAGCCAACATGGAGCAGTTGCCTTAGCCGTTTGCAGGATTCTCAGTTTAACGGAATTAGATAGACTGGTGTTAACACGATCAAAAAGCCAGAGCTTTGTATACAAAAGAAATATGTTCAGCCGTTCCTTTTACCTTGACCAACTTCAGAGTCAACTTGTTAATAATCAATTTTATAATATGGTGACGTTAATTTGATTAATGTTCATTTTTATATCCTACACTTATTTTATCTACTTATCTTACCAGTCATTATCATTATTATTATCACACTTGCTAACCTTTTAGAGAAATTTATTCAGCATCCACCTCTATCTACTATATCTGACCTAATTCATATTATTCTACATATTACGTGCCCCCAAATGCCCTGGTATGGCCGAGAGTGGGGAGAGTCACCTCTCCTCGAAATGCTCTCATATGGCCAGCGAATACATAGCCTCTGTCAGGGAAGTCCTACTCACTGCCTTCTCGTGGCGGGGGTGTTGCTTACGAAAGTGAGAGGACCAAAAAGCGAATGTCCGGTGCTTTAACCGGGTTGGTGGACATGGAAAGTTCACCTAGGGGAGTTGGAAAACCCTCATTCCAAACCAATGGTGCACATGGGCTCCAGTATCCTGAGAGAACAAATGGCGTATAAATCAATCGTTGATCACCGGCTACCATGGGACTGCATCTCCTCACGATGCTCCACTGCCTCGTGGATCAGACATTCAGGTCAAAGGCTCCGGGTGTGGCCCCCTAAGAAAACCACCTGCTTCAGTCTGGGCACCTGAGCAGTATCACAGCCCTCACACAAATCGAATGAGATTTGTGATGTGCATAATTATCTGGTGCTTCCTTGTACCAATATTTATGTGTTTAAATAAATAAATAATAAAACATATTACGTAATTTCTGATTTGTAATCCCATTTTTCTCTCACCCCATGTCAACTATATTTATTCTGATCAATTATCTTACGATTTTATGTCACTTATAAACTGATTCAAGTTAACACTTCATATTAGTCATCCCAACATTAACGATTCGATTTTATTTTATATTACAAACACTCGTTGATTCACATGTTATAGTTTCCTAAATGATGTACTGTCTTAAACTTGGCCAATGTTCTTTTGTGGATTATTAATTTGGATTTATAATTGTAGAACCTGATGAGAAATTATTGAAAAGAATATTCTTCGTCCATATAACTGAGTTTTAATATGATGGGAATTTTTCGGCGACTTAGATAAAAAAAAAGCAAATGTGAAGCAAAACAGTTTTATAAAAGTATGTTAACGGAGAGAGAGAGAGAGAGGAGGTAACTCACAATAGCACAAACTAAAATTAATAAGAATAACTATTTTAGAGGAATCACAAAAATGTAGAGGTAATGTTATAATGACCGATATAAAGAAGTGTAATGTTCAACATTTAGAGGACTATATATAGGGGACATATATGCCTGTGTCATAGACAGAAATTGATTTTGACCAACACAGTATTTTAATCGTTTAAAGATCCCCATCATATTAAAAGACTAATATTTGAACGAAGAATTCTCTTCAGGTTCTACAATTATATATCCAAATTAATAATCCGAAAAAATGGCCAGGTTAGGGGTAAAGTAAATCGTTTAAAGCATTTAAATTTAGGAATGTCAAACCAAATAGAATAAAATTGTTAATGTTGATATGACTCATATAGAATGTTAACTTGAATCTGTATATATGTTAAGTGAAAATGTTAAGATCTGTGATCAGAATAGAAATATATAATTGTAGAACCTGAAGAGAGTTTATCGAAAAGAATATTCTTCGTTCAAATATTAGTCTTTCAACACAGTATTCATAATTTAACTTGAGATTCCCTTTGGTACTAGTATGTGACTCAGACAGACTATGAATAACAATATCTTGTTTTGGTTTGATCACGTTTTAAATTGTTCATTCGATTTATTTCCAATTACACAATAAGCACTCAAGTAATCAGTAGATATTATCAACGCAAAGTAGTTAGAACATAGAAGGCTGAATAATTATGAGAAGCAGTCGTGTACAATCAGTGATTTGTTATGTATACCAATATAATATATTTGAAAAGTGGACAGTAATCACCTTTGAAAAATAAAGTGTACAAATATGCATGAATTTACATCTCTACGTATTAGATAAATAAATTATTTGTACTTTGGTATTCATGATAATTACTAAGTGAAAATTATGTATAAGAGAAACACTCGACTGGAATGACACAAAAGATGTATATGATTGTGTATAAGACATAAAATTTCCTAACTTATTCAATTAAACTAAAGAGTCAAGTAAAACCACTGAGAAATTCCATTCTGAGGTTAATCGCGAATAAAGAAGCATGTCATGATAATTACTGTCATATATTAAGGTCGTTTTTTGTAAGGAGTTTGTACAAAATGAATATGATGGTGAACCGGGGATTACTGAAGAGTTGTTATTATTATCAGTATAAAAAATTAGAAAGCATTGGGAAACAGTTTTTATGTTTTACTATCGAACAGTACAAAATATGTAAAAAGTTCACTTGATGAATGTCTAAGTATACACTTTATTACTTATATGTATTAAATACTACATATATTCCTTCAGTGCAATTATTAATTAATTGAAATCAACTCGTTTCTTTATTTACATTTGATTTATGACATCCCTACATCCTTTATTGCACTTGTAAAGAAATAAATCTGCAAACAAGTGCAAAACGATAAAAAAGTAAGAGCGAGTAACGTGTGCTAAATAATGCACAAGCAAAAGCACGAAGTTGGAAGAGAATAGTAGGAAATAAGTAATTTTAATTGGAATACAAAATTTGAGAAGGTTTTCCATCAACACTTGATACTTATTGTTAGATAATGATTATTGTGTACCAGTGTGGGGTAAAAAGAAAATGATAGTGTAACTATTATTCAATGTAATTATTTGTGGATAACTCCCACAGAAAGCAATCATAACATAACAGCAAAGACGATAGCATCGTAGTGGAATGTTGATAAATTTATCTTGAAGCTATTCCGTGCTATGAAGATAAAATTGTAAAACACGACGATAGGCGGGAGGTATGTATATTTATAGAGAGAAGTTACAAAGTGTTATATCCTGGTGAAGACATAAGTACGGGTAACTCCCAAGACGTATTAATGGACTATTATTCTATATATATTCTTATGGTTTAACTATTGAGTAACTAGATTGTGTATATCTATATTCATCTTATTATAAGCTTCATTTTGACTTATGGAATATTATTATACGAATTACTGTTCTTATATTATATTCAGTTTATTGATTATTGTATCTCACGTTCACAGTCACATTTGGCTTGATCCTGTACAAATATTATTTTCTATTTTATGGTGTGATGAGGTCTGTCTGTCTGGTATATAAACAGAGTATGCTTGAAATAAATGATTCGCATAGCGGAAGCTGTCATTGGCGTTCTGGACTCAATTGGAAGAGCTAGACGGACAAAAGACCAATAAGGACGTTAGACTGCTCATACCAGTTGAACGTCATTGATTTGTCACAGTGTTAATATCAGAAAAGTCGTATTTTGATTGGTGGATAATTCACGTGATAAAAGCCGGACATAAAATCAATAAGGAATTAGCATACGTCTTATATTTTTTATAAAGTCATAACACAAAGTATTTTCGTTGTGCTCTGCAATCTGAACTGTCTTGTCGACTGGCCTCCAAGTGTCCTGCCAACGCCGTGCTCTCGATGCACTGAATCTCTTCATTCTGGCTGATAACTTGCGAAATCGACACCACGTTTCTCTACACAGTTACTATTTTAATGAGGCTTTATGCGGAGATGGGTTCGTTTTATAAATGGTGTTTCACAAATTTCATAAAACGTTTAGTAACAACTGCTGTAATTCGAAATCTAACACGACGACCATCTAATGCCGCTGGTGACAACTGTTTCACCCCGACATGAGTGCAATCTATAAGCTCTAATATTTCAGTATTTAGTGAGAGGATTGAAGGTTCTGGGTTCAGCCACCTAGTCGGGTCGTATGTATGTCCAACTGGGGAGTACTCCAGATGAGATCGGTCTGTAAAGAAAGCCACATACAAACCAAACCAACCTCCATAAAAACCCCTATGAACAAAAAATGTAACTATTTTACAAGATAGTAATAATGATAATGACAGTATTTTTAAACCTGACATCAATCAATGTGGAAAATAACTTTCATATTTAAAATAAACCTACAGGTTTTCTACTGAATGTGTAGGCAGACAGCAAGCCACCAATATACCTAATATTGAATTCAAACACCGATACTTGAGTGTTCTGTGGAAGAAAGAATCAAAGTAGAAAGAATGAATTAAGTATTTAAAATTTGAAATAATATGCAGAGTAATAAATATGTTGACAATTAAATTAAAAAAATTTTTTCTCACATAAGTAGAAATGGTGCGACGATGCAGTTTAATTTTAAAATATGAACATAATTTTAATTTACTACACAATCTTAATGATGAGTACAAAAGTTCACGTATACAAATGACTTTTTTCTCTATATTTACCTAAATATAATGAGGTAAAACGAGGCAGAGCCTGGTGACAATGTACTAGTTAAAACATCTGTTATAAGTGGATGTCTGGATGCTGAACAGCTTCAGTCAAAGAGTTCATCTATTAAATGAAGCATAAATATTGTGAACATGTTGATCGATGTCTGAATGAGTTGTATAGTTGGTGATAGATATAATTTTCGTGAAAATTAGATACTTATAACACAGAAAAATACGGAACTGAACAGAACACACCAGGTTAAATAGTAATAGCAAATAGTCATTAGCTATTTTCACAGGAAATGAAAATAGTAAAGAGCTATTAAACAGGATTACTGACTGACTACGTTGTCTAAGCATAAGTTACTACTGCATCAACTACAACTAGATACCTAACAAGATACTGATCAATCGGTAGCTTTAACATTTGCGGGGAAGATATCTTGAAACTATGCAATTCCCTGACAGTTCATCAAACAAATCGGAACGAATAGCTAAGTAGCAGTGTTATAATTCCTCTTATTACGACCCAGCTATTTATATTGCTTAGTATTCTTGGACAGCAATTCACTCGACAAGTCCCCAAATCAGAACACGGTTGAACAGGAAAGAGATTATATTCCGAATGACAAGGGGTTAATGAAGTAAGAGGCACAATAAGAAATACGTTAGCACATTTACAGTTTTTACATGAGATTCTAGAGTCTTCTCCAAGTATCGACTAGCGCTGATTAGATGAGAATTAGTCAATCGGCATGCACCAACACAATCGTGTATGGAACATGCTTTAATCCAATCTATGTCCCGCTAACAAGCAGAATCTAACATTCACAAACACAGTTGTACATCTTTATAACATCGTAACTGGGGTTACACCAGTCTACATTTCCACATAACTAACATCATATCACAACAATCAAGTATACATTATCATTCACCTTAGTCCCTTGAATTAACATCTTTGCCGAATTTATTTATATAATTAAAATGAACAATTCTGTCCTAATGCAGTCCTAACAAATCGATGGGAAGATTCAAACAAACAATACTAAGTTGAATTTAAACTTCACCCCATCGCACAAGCAAGTGGCTATCAGGACTCAGTGGCCGAGTGGATAACGCGATGGCGTTTGAAGCGAGGGTACTGGGTTCGAGTCCCAGAGTGAACATCAACTCTGAGATGCAGGTACATCCAGCTGACGAGTCCCAAATAGGACGAAACGCGCGTCCTGGATTCCACTGCTAGCCACTATCCATCTCTGCTAATTCTGTAATCACTTATGATTACTATCATGGCTTTTTTTAATAACCAGTGAATATACATGACAATAACTTATGTGAATAATTTAGGTCCTGATCTTAAGTGTCTATCAGAGTTACAATTAGTTTTATATGCCATTGTAATATAAATTTTAAAGATAAGAGAAAAATTAAGCGTTATTATTATTGCTAAGTAATGAATTATACATCAATAGTTAGTTAGTTATTATTATTATTACTATTAATATAAACTTACCAAAGTTTTTTTATAAGAAACACCAAAGTACATACATGTTAGAGTTCACATGATAGAAATACATAAGTGTATCTATCACTATTAGAGTATGTACTGGACTAAATACAATATAAAATCTATAAAGATAATTCAAATTAATTCACAGCATTAACCTACTTGTATAAAATGACAGAAGTGTATTATTTCGTGTTTGTTTGTTTGTTTTTTAAACTGGTCATCACATAAAAGTGTGGAAATTTTTATTATTATTGATAATAGTCACTTCAATGTAGTTGCTTTTTTAAATGTTTTTTGAAGATGTTTATCTAGTTTATATCACGTATATATATACTTATCTACGTGCTTTTACAAATTATGAGTAACTGATAAAATCTAATCCAGAGAATGACATACTTTATTATTGATGACGAATAAACGGATAAGACTATTTACAGAGAGATTATAACTGTGTATAAATTAGCGTTACTCAGTCACATTAAAACAAAAATTAGAATGACACTGTAAGTTGAACTTCAAACGGATGAATTTTATATAAATTATAGTGATAAATTCAATCAACTGGATCAAATAAACGAGAATAAAACAAGTCATAATGAAATGTGCTGTCTCTTCGGTAAAATGTGAACGTTGACGATCCAGAAACGAAAGGATGATTTGGTATTTTAAGAGGTGAATGCTGAGTCCTAATGATAGTAATGACCATAACAGAACGTTTAAGCCGATGAATTTCAAACAGGAAGGTACATTTAACCAAGATTAGTTCGATAAATTCAAACAAAGGTTATTTGATGTGTGGGCGAGAATGATAATGATTGGTTGTCTTGATGGGTAAGACATTAAATAGGATGACAGGTGTTATATGTGTTATATATATTCCCCTATCCTTATTATGTATTGACTGTTCCTTGTTGATGGACACTTATTGATTGACTGTTTCTTGTGTCGGATTTTGGTGTGGAAATATATTGACGTTATAGTCAGGCTAATCTCGTGTTCTTGATCTGAGTTCTGTTGAAGTCCTGTACAATAGACACTGGGTGGGAATCTAGTGTAGATATTCGTCCAAGGCAAATTAACATCCCTTATACGTGTAAGAAGTGAAAGGGCTGTTATAACCAGAAACCCCTAGAGTTATAACCAGCATCTTCTACGTTGATAACATTATTATAATACGTTTTGCATTACACAAATAAGTTTCGTGGCTGTAATTAATCCCATTTCATTCATTACTCTTTATACTCGTAGCTAAGAAAGTTTCCATGCACTTCAAAAAGGTATATAAAATGACAGAATAGAAGATAAGTACTTTATTAAAATCCAGATTCGTTTCGATCCATTCTACAGCTGTATTGAATTCTTTGTTCAAATTCATTATGTACAAAGTGTCCAAACTATCGATTAAGGAAGCTCCGAGTGGTTCATTTCCAAGCACAAAGGGTAAGTGACCAGTTTTTGAAACCGGTCTCAATTCATTACTTCCCCATGCATAGGTAGCATAACCATTCCAAGCAAACTTCATCATCTAAAGTTTATCAAAAAAAAAACATAAACAAAAGGTATTACAACTTGAAGATATACTTTATAATCCTCAATAACTTTAGAATTCAAACTTAAGAAGCATAATTAGAAAAAAACAAATACAGTAGGCTGAAGATCGATAACTGCACAACATTTGGAAAATTTCAATATTTATGCTAAGCTAATGATAAACGTTGATATAAATTCCGAGACAAAACAGTAAAGCAGTAACTTTTGTAACCATCGATCTATGACTGCCGAATGTACTGTATGCATTTTAGTCAGTTTATAATTGTTTGGAATTAATTCATTAAAATAATCAGTGAAGTTGTGCAACACATACATGGCTGATTACTTGTGAACGTTAGAACAAATGTGATTTTTAAAAATTTACCTAGTAATTGTACTTGGGTAGCACATTATATGTAAGCGTAGTTTGCATAGCCTTATTACATTTCATACAGTTTAATTTCCGCACACCAATATGCTAGAGTGAAATTATAAATGATAGTAGCTTGAGTTAAGTAACCGGAAAAAGTAAAGGATCGGACAGAAGCATACGACTAATTAGTAAATCCTTCTGATCACGTGTAGAATAGAAGTGCTGAAGAATGAGACATGATGTTAAACCATATAGTAATTTCTGCTTTCAGTTATTAGTGAGTAGGTGAAATTTTCAGTTACTCCACTAAAATTACCCAATAAATTTTTCCGAGATTACACAACTACAATTTTTGTTTGATCTGCTGGGGAAATTTTTCTAGAAACACAAAGTAATTGACACTGCAAACTAATATAGATATCAATCACAACTTACGCGATGAAAGAAAGCCTTCAGAAAGGAACTTCCTGAGTTAGTTGAATATAAAATGAACGAATATACTGTAAACACTAAAAGCTTCCTGATTCATATTTGTCCAAAATAAAACACCATAAACCACTTTAGACCATATCCACAAAATTGGAATTCGAGTAGGTTTTTATTATTTCACGAAAAGACAGTCAGCCAGTCAACTACACCGTAGGACCAAGCACGTATATGCATCAGTCCAAGTTGCCATACCTCACCAGCACAAAAACATGAACAACAAATTCATAGAACCACTTATTTCAATAGTAGTGATATTTAAAATAAAGATTGCATATTAGGATATAATACAGGAAGAAAGAATTAGTTCGTACAAATAAAGGTATAAAGTAAGTTTAATCTCAAGGTTTAGGGGAAGACAAACAGTGCATACACCTACACCATTCTGATCAATTATGAGCCATTTCACGCACAGTCTCTAACCAGTGGTTACAATAGTCATGTGCATCCCAACGAAATAGTCTGCATCTACCAACATGGCACAGATCGAAAGTTGGTGACTTTGTCGAATGATGTCACGTCTTGGTTTACTTACGCCTGCTACTCCCCATAGAGCATGAGCCTCCGACCAGCATTCTCCAACACAATCTGTCCTGGGCCTTCCTTTCTAGTTCTATCCAATTTTTGTTCATTCTTCTCATAACTGTCTCCCTTTCTCGGCGTAATGTGTTCTTTGATCTTCTTTCGCTTTGGCCTTCGGGATTCCAAGTGAGATGTTTATCAGTCGTAAATATGCTGCTCTCGTTTTGCCGATCCGCGCCCTTACAAGTGCATCAGATCCACTGTGTTCTTCAATGATGTTAACCAGATATGTAAAAGTTTTCACATCTTCAAAAGCTTCTCCGTCAAGCGTAATTCGATTGGTGCATGCTGAATTGTATGGGGGGATATTGCTTTTTTCTTTGCGTATATTGAGACCTACTGCTACTACACTGGTCGTCTTCTCCTGCATTTGTTGTTGCGTGTGCAATAGAAGAGCCAGATCATCTGCTAAGTCTAAATCATCCAGTTGCATCCTAGCTGTTCATTGTATCCCGTGCTTCCCTCCAGATGTTGACGTCTTCATAATCCAGTCGATCACCAGAAGAGAGAGAAAAAGTGAGAGTAACCAACCTTGCTTGACACCGGTCTTTACCTCAAACGAGTCAGTGAGTTGTCTCCATGCACTATTTGGCAGTTTAATCCAACATAGGAGTTCCGTATGATAATGACTATCTTCTCAAGCACGCCGTAGTGTTGTCCCATCCAGTTAATCAGTTGTCAATCAGTGTTCGTATGTATGGTATGTTTTCTTTACCTTCCGAGGGCAAAGTACTTTTACAAGACTGACAGGACCTGATCCTGCACTCACTCTGGGTAGTAAGTAGATATAAGTATTCGAGAAGTTCGTGTATATGGGTAGCTGTGTGAGCGCTGATGGTTGTGCACGAGATGACGACGCGTTCGACTACTTCAATCCCTATTCTTAGTTCAAGTGTTGACGCACGCCAGTCCTGAAGTATCAATTTACATTTAGAGGGAGAGAAACGCATCCCAAACATCCTGACATTGTTGAACAGAAATACCAAAACACTCTGCATTTTATCAGCGTCTTCAACAAACACGACTATGTCGTCCGCGTGTTCCAAGTCAACAGGTAAACATCTCGGAAGGAGATGGATTCCTGAAAATTCAGATGACAAGAACCTTATTTCCAGCAGTAGGTCTATGATGAAATTAAACAGAAATACAAATAGTGGACAGCCTTGTCGGACACCGCTTGAGGTTGCAAAATCTCATCAAACTTAGTCATACGCTCTCACTCGACTGGTAGTGTTCGGGTACAGAGCCCTAACAAGGTTAATGTACTTCTGAGGTACACCTTTCAATGACAGACACTCCCACAGAACCTCTCGCTGTATAGAGTCAAATACTGCTTTTCAGTCAGGAAAAACTATTGTTGTCCGACGTCGATAAGCATGCTTGTGTTCTAGAACCTGACAAATAGTGGATATGTGGTCGATGCAGCCACGACCAGGACTGAAGCCACCCTGATTTCCTCATCTTTGCAGATCACCAGTCTGTGTTAAGGGTCTGATAACTATTGAGGCTAATATTTTAGATGCTATATTAGTCAAACTAACTCCTCTATGGTTATCACAGGATGATTTTGACCCGTTTTTATACATTGGGGCAATCAGTAATTGCGTCCAACTACCAGATTTTAACCAAAGTTGGACAACTAGGCTTAATGACCTCTGGAGCCAATCTATCTGGATCAGCTGCTCATCCACGTCTCAGACTAGCTGTAGCCTTTTCAACTCCAATTAGAGTCGGCGGATCTACTTCAATATTCCACTCAGACTGTCTATGAATGATGGGTAGTTAAGGAGTAGCTGAAGGCCAGCTGGACTGCTCCTTAAGGTGTTCCGCCAATCCTTCTAAACATTTGGATTGAGTGCGGATAAGTGTCGTCTTTTTCCGACATCGTTTCACTCACACTTGATTTCTTAATCCCAGTTTTTTTTATTAGTTTAAAAATCTGTCTTGTGTTACCTACAGCCTCTGCGTTTCAATCTTTTTTGCTTTCGTTTCCCATAACTGCTCACAATCGTTCCTTGGACTTTTCGTTAACCTAGATTTGATTTGTTTACGCTCTTCATCGCGTTCAGTGCCTGCCTGATCGGATGAGTTTACGCTTATCAAATGTACCAACCACTACGTTATATATCAATGTAAAAGTGTAACAGAAACGTAACACTATGAAAGCACGCATGTACATTTACGTCAAGTGGAACAAAATATGCGAGTAAAGAAAGGAGATTGGTTTATATGGTATGGTAAAACTTAAATAGCACTTTTGTCAAATACTCGCAAAATGAACTTCGTAGCAAATGGATGTTTATCAGTCTAATATACAATTCAAGCCATATTTTACTCTAAATTAGGAAACCTCAACAAGTCGCTCGACAGTAATTTTATCAGTAAACTGAATTTTAACTATGAAAACTTTATAACACCTAATACAATTACAATGATTATACGTAGAATATATCACTTGGAGAATTACAAACACTTGGTATCCTTCCAATTATTATATTATTGAATAAAAAATCGTTTTGTAATAATAACATTAACAATGTATATTCTATGGACTTTTACAAACACTGTACCACTTTATAGACATGACCAAGTTTCTTTGTTTAAATAGTATGTATAATTGCATGAGTTAGTTAAAATGCTATCGTTGTACACATATTAAAGCTCTAGTGAGAAGCAGTGACCAGTGGAGTTCAAAACCACGTCTGTTGTGAGACAGGAACTCACTGAAGACAATTGGTGAATGGTTGCTCGACTTCGTGGATCAGTTGAAGTTAGACATTAACACCGTTGGATGCCAGCTCAGTGGTCTATCGGTTAAGGGCTTCGGCTCGAGACTGGTAGGTCCTGGGTTCGAATCTCGCGAGTACGGGATCGTGGATGCGCACTGCTGAGGAGTCCCATAATAGGCCGAAACGGCCGTCCAGTTGCTTTCAGGTTTTCCATGGTGGTCTAGCTTCAATTGACTCACGCTTTCAACAATGATAAATACATATTAAAGCTTTTGGAAAAATGATTGTACACAGATATTTATGGATTGAATAAATTCTTCGTAAATAATATATAGATAATCCTTCTTTTATTATAAATGAAATGTGTTATTTAACTGACTAAAATTGAACGAAAATGTCAAGCTAACTAGTAAATAGATAATAAGTTTTACACAGAAAATAGAATTTAAAATAACTCATAGGTTTGATGACTAGTGAAACAGAAAAAATGAAACAAGAGAAAAAGAGTTTCCAACACATTTCAAATTCAACAAATAAAAGATTGTTTTGTAAACAGAGATGAATGGTAGCTAGCAATTGGATTCACGACGCCCGTTTCGTCCTAACTGGGGGTCATCAGCTTGATGTATCTCGATTCCATAGTTGACGTTCTCTCCGTGACTCGAACCCAGGACCGTTTGCCTCGAACACTATATCGTTATCCAGTTCACTACTGAACCCAGATGGCCACCAGCTTATGCAGAGGGGTGAACTTTGATGAAGGTACACACAGGTAGAACGAAACATGCGTCCTGGATTCCACTGTTAGCCACCGTCCATCAACGTTTGTAATGCTTGTGACTTAAAGAAAAATTGGGTCAATCCGCACAGAATGTACATATGACAATAAGAGGCTGATCAATTGAAGTCCTAAACGTCAATGGAAAGAATCAAACAAACAACACTAGATGAATCAAAATATTGTTTTGTTTACATGCGGCAATCGTTTAACAGTTTGAACTTTTTACAATCCAGTTACACTGTAATTCAGATATGATGAATATACACATACACGTGTATGTGTACAAACAAGAAATGTTTAAGGAAAATGATTTGTGTTGTCATTTTAAGAATATCATTTATACAATTAAGATAATAGATTAATTACAAAAGTAAACAAGTTTATCCGAAGATGTTCTAGATTTTTCGCACAGGTGATAGTTTACTTCACGTTAGGATGGCTTCAAAAAGCACGACGAAGGCTCCAGAACTCTAAAGGAGTAGGAGAGATTTAATCCAATCATAAATTGATGGAACCTTCTAGAATACCAACGTTGCATGCTGAGATTGAAGAACAGTATATCTTGCCTCCTATAGGATTGGCTGAATCATAATGATGTTACAGTCAATACTAATAATTATGAATACCCATGTTTTTCTGTCTTCTGATTTGCGACTGTAGATTTCTACACGTTCGAGTGCTGTTAGTTGTGAATCCTATTCTCCCCATAACCAATCAAGTAGGGAATGTAACACTTTAGTTAATTGTCCAATAGTTTTTTTTTGCTGCAATATATATTGAACGGGAATTATGCGTTTAGTTTCGTGAGTATTTATCTATTTAATTGACATGGTGAAATGTAGGTTTTAGCAGTTGGGAAGTTCCTATAGGATATTAAAAGTCGATTTGGTCATGAATTCTTTCACTATTTCATTAATCAGCAGATTTACCTCAATGTTATCGATTAAAGATAAAAACTCTTAAACAACTTCCAGGTATTGAGAAAATAGTTCGAGAAGGGAGAAAAAATGAACAAAATTAAGGCTCGAAACCTAAAGAAAGATAAAGATCAGTGACTAAACTATAGTAATAATAGTTGAAAAAATAACATTAAGGAGTTTCATAGTGAATAATTAATTATTAATTGTTTGTATGGGGGATTTGTGGAGATTGTAGTATTTCCATAGTTGAAGTCACGAGTCGATCTACGCCAGACTACCAATGAAAACCTGGGAGCACTGGACGGCTGTTTTGCGAGACCAAAAGTCCAAGGTTTAATTCTCGCGTGCGGAGTCGTGGATGATCGCTGCTGGGATAGCTCGCATTAAGATGAAACAGTAGTTCAGTGCTTCCAGATTTTCAACGGTGGTCTAGCTTAAATCCACTTGTGATTTCAACTGTGATCATAGTTATCTAAACAAATAGTTTACTTCAGTATATAAGGTATGCTGAAATTGTACATTTATTGACAAGTCTACAGAAATTTATAAGCACGAGATGGTGAAAAAAATATGCAGAAAAAAATATATATCACCTTGGATAGTGGGAGTTAGTAACGGCCCAATGTCATGAATAAACTTTCAAGATTTCAAACACTAACGGCATAGGAATAGTACAGTATTAATAATACAAATGGTGCTAAAAACAATGTGAAATATAAATATCTAAACCCGTTTCAAGAAAAACAATATATACTGGAAAATTTTTTAAAGTATTGAGTAGGAAATTTTGAAAACTAAATCCCATAAGTAAACTGGGATAGAGAAAAATCAAATCTTAAAAGTCATTCGTCAATATGTATTACGCTTTGGTGTCTGAAATATTTGAATTAATGTAACAGTGTATGAATAACAAAACAGTAGATTCATAACTTACCTCTCGAACCTTATCTCGTATAGAAGCTACTGTCTCATTTGCAGGAAAGCCACCTTGAATTTCTTCCTTGGAAATAAGTGTTCCATTATTGAAAGCTGCAATTGACGGAAGCTTTTCAGAAATAGGAAGTGTTTGAGTAAGAACCTTTGTTGCCTTTTCTAAAACATCGGTTTCTATAGGTATTTGTGCAGGTGGTTGGATTTGACGAGAATCCTGGTCAGACTCTGGAATTTTAGGTGGTGGTCCGATTATCTGTGGCTTTGGGATCACACTAGGTAATTTAAGAACCTTTTAGAGAAAACAAGTACATGAAACGGATTTTTGAATACTGAAATAGATTGTAAAAAATATTGAATGAGTAGGAATTTTCGATAATGCACTGGAAATATAGTAATAAATGAATGACACACTGAATCAATTTCTGGAAATGATTATCCCCTTTCGAAATGCTAAATTTACTTGTGAAGTGTTTATTAAAACTACAATGTAAACAAAATTGCTGTAAAAAGATCGATCCAGGTCTGAGTGAGCATACAACTAGTCTGTGTATAGCACTTTAAACGGTTAATAGAAATTTTACAGTACCTTGAATACTCTAACGAGGTTTTTAGTGTACTAAGAGTGAATCCCGTAATTTGTGGTTAGCAATATTGGGAAGAATTTAGACGATTTAGTGTAAAGTTAGGTAATGAAAAGAAATAAGTTCAAAAAAAGTAATTATCAGGGAAAAATCTAGTGTTCCTAGATATGTACGAAGACACAATTTAGTACAAAACTTGAAAATCTAAGATGATTGTAGTATTTATTTTCAAAGAGTCTCATAAACTTTTTAAGTTTTATGACCGAATGAAACAAGTTGGATTGAAGTTTGACTACTTTGATCTTTTCTTCCGTTAATAGAAAACATCATCTCCATCATAGCCATAGTCGGCAACAGAACTTTGTTTACCAAAATTTAGTTTTGATTTTACCGCTCTCGAACCGAAGTAATTGGCATGAAAAGACTACGAAACAAATGTTCCAATCAATATAACCTGATTAGTTTGTTACAACTGACAAGCCGAACAAACAAGTGAACTAAAAAAAGTCAATGTTAGTTCTTTCCTTCCTAAGTATAATTTTTCTCACTGCAATTGGTATTGTGATATTCTTTATCCTAAATTTTATCTTTTTGATTCCCACCCTGGCTGTACTAATTTGTAGTGTTGCAAATTAGATCAATATATACTTGTGCCAGGACGTATATTACCTATGAAAAATGGCTTTGGTCAGTAAAGTTAAGCCAGATTATTACGAGGTAAACAGATTGCTACATCAAGACAATTTAAAATTTTGGTTTCATATCTCATACATATAAGCTGATCATATTATATATATATATATATATATATATATATATATATATATATATATATATATAAACTAATTAAAAAGAGCAGTCCTGATAATCTTCGTCTTCTTATTACACTATTGAAATTTATCAAAGGGACTAATTGCTTTAAAAGAGAGCAGGCCTTCTAAAAGCCTATCGATTAATATGAACACAATGAAAAGGGAAGACAGTTAATTAGTTTGAAATACAATAAGAAAAATAACATCAGACTATGGCTACGTGCCGAACAAAAATAAATATTCCATTTAGAAAAAGGTTTGAAACGTATTACTCAGTGTTGTAGACAGTAAAATTATATATTCAAATCCTAGTTTATGTTTAATAAAAAGCGGTCAACATGATAACAGTTGGATTTTAAGAATAGAGGTTAAATATTATCATATTGAGAAGGCAATATCCGACATAATGATTTGAGATTACTGATGGATTTTTGTAACCTTAACCAGAATTTTTCTCCAAGTATGAATTAGGCTACGGTATTGAGCCACAGAGGTTATGGTATGGAATTTTGTCAAATAACATTACGTTATTCTATATATTATCTTATATGCATTAAGTTTATTACTTACTTCCTTACGCCTGTTACCCCTCGTCGAGGAGCATAGGCCGCTCACCAGCATTCTCCATCCAACTCTGTCCTGAGCCTTCCTTTCCAGTCCTTTCCAGTTGCTATTCATCCTTTTCATATCTGCTTCTATTTCCCGGCATACTGTGTTCTTTGGCCTTCCTCTTTTCCGCTTTCCTTCCGGATCCCTAGTTAAGGATTGAGTCGTGATGCACATTGGTGATTTCCTTAATGTATGTCCGATCCACTTACAACGTCTTTTCCCAATTTCTTCTTCAGCTGGAAGCTGGTTTGTCCTCTCCCATAAAACGCTGTTGCTGATAGTATCCGGCCAATAGATGTTGAGTATTTTGCGTAAACAACTGTTTATAAATACTTGTACCTTCCTGATGATGGTCGTAGTAGTTCTCCACGTTTCAGCTCCATACAGTAGGACTGTCTTGATGTTCGTATTAAAGATTCTGACCTTGAAATTGGTTGAGAGTTGTTTTGAGTTCCATATGTTCTTCAATTGTAGAAATGCTGCCCTTGCTTTGCCAATCCTCGAATTTACATCTGCATCCGATCTTCCTTGTTTATCAACGATGCTCCCCACGTACTTGAATGTTTCCACCTCTTCCAGAGTTTCGCCATCAAGTGTGATTGGGTTGGTGTTCTCCATGTTGCATTTGAGAATCTTGCTTTTTCCTATGTGAATGTGGAGGCCTATCGATGCGGAGACTGCTGCTACATTTGCTGTCTTCATCTGCATTTGTTCGTGTGTATGAGAGAGGAGGGCTAGGTCATCTGCGAAGTCCAAATCATCTAATTGATTCTGAGAAGTACATCGTATTCCGTATTTCCCTTCAGATGTCGAATTCTTCATAATCCAGTCAATCACTAGAAGGAAGAGGAATTGGGAGAGTAGACAGCCTTGTCTGACTCCGGTCCTTACTGGAAATGCATCTGTCAGTTGTCCTCTATGCACCACTTTGCACTGTAGTCCATCGTATGAGTTTTGGATAATGTTGAACTCCATAGTGTCGAAGAAGTTTCCATAATGTTCTCCTGTCCACGCTGTCAAACGCCTTCTCATAGTCAACAAAGTTGACGTATAGTGATGAGTTCCACTCAACTGATTGTTCAACGATGATCCGTAGTGTCGCAATCTGGTCTGTGCACGACCGATCCTTACGGAATCCAGCCTGATGATCCCTAAGTTTGGCATCCACTGCGTCTGTCATCCGATTCAGCAGCACTCTGTTGAAGACTTTTCCTGGTACTGATAACAAACTGATGCCTCTGTAGTTCTCACATTTACTCAGATCGCCTTTCTTTGGTATCTTGATGAGATATCCTTCTTTCCAGTCCGTTGGCACTTGTTCCTCTTCCCAAATCTTTTTGAATAGAAGGTGAAGCATGTTTGCAGTTATTTCAATGTCTGACTTCAGTGCTTCTGCTGGTATATTGTCAGGTCCTGCCGCCTTCCCACTTTTGATTTGTCTGATGGCCATCTTGACTTCTTCGATCGTTGGTGGAGTGACATCTATTGGAAGGTCAGTGTATGCTGCTTCGATGTTCGGTGGATTCAATGGGGCTGGTCTATTCAGCAGTTCCTCGAAGTATTCTGCCCATCTTTTCCTCTGTTCTTGAATCTCAGTGATTGTCTTTCCTTCTCTGTCCTTGACTGGTCTCTCTGGTTTGCTATATCTCCCTGCCAATTTCTTCGTTGTATCATATAGTTGTCTCATATTCCCTTTTATTGCAGCTTTTTCCGTCGTCGTTGCTAGTTCTCCCATGTAGTTCTGCTTGTCGGCTTTAATGATTTTCTTCACTTCCCTGTTTGCTTCTGCGTAGTCTGCTTGTGCTTTGACTTTCTCTGCTCGTGTTCGGCTGTTGTTAATTGCCAGTTTCTTGTTCTTCCTTTCTTGAATTTTGTCCAGGGTTCCCATAGAGATCCATTCCTTGTGATGATGCTTATTATGACCAAGAACCTCCTGACACGTTGAAGTTAGTGCTTCTTTTATCCCTTTCCAGTTGTCCTCCAAGCTAGTTTCTTGTTCTTTCAATAGATCCTGTAGAGCTTGGAACCTGTTGTTGAAAGTTATCTTGAATTCGTGGAGCTTGTCAATATCTCGAAGGAAGGCTATATTGAACCTTTGTAGTGCTGTTTGTCCAGTTTTTTTTAGCTTCAGTCTCATCTTGGCCACAACCAGGTGGCGATCTGAACCTATGTCAGCTCCTCTCCTAATTCTCACATCTTCCATTGACCTTCGGAATTTTTTGTTGATACAGATGTGATCTATCTGGTTCTCTGTGGTTTGGTCCGGTGAGATCCATGTAGCTTTGTGTATGCGTTTGTGTGGGAATATTGTGCCGCCTAACCAATTTGTTGAAAGCACATAGGTTTGCAAGTCTCTCCCCATTTTCATTTCTTTCTCCTAGTCCATGTCGTCCAATTATATCTTCATATCCTGTGTTGTCCACTCCAACTTTAGCATTTAGATCTCCCATCAGGATGGTGAGGTCCTTTCGTGAGCACTTCTCTATAATTGATTGCAGCCTCTCATAGAACTGGTCTTTATCATCGTCGTTGCTATCATTGGTGGGTGCATAACATTGGATAACGTTCATTGTGATCCCTTGCTTCTCTGTCCTGAATGATGCTTTGATTATTCTGGGTCCATGAGATTCCCATCCCACAAGTGCATTTCGTACTTCTTTGGACAATATTAGATCAACTTCCTGAGTGTGTGGAGCATTTTCCCCTTCGTGACCGGAGTACAGCAGCATCTCTCCTGTACCTAGACTTTGTTGTCCAGACTGTGTCCAATGGGTTTCGCTGATTCCGAGTATTGCGAATTTGTATCTCCTCATTTCCATTGCTATTTGGCTGGTCTTTCCTGTCTCCCACACTATCCGAACGTTCCATGTACTTATAAAGAGTGTTGCTCTGGTTGTTAGAAGGTGCATCGGTCTCGTGACTTCGGAAGAATTTCGGCTTTTATCATGAGACGTCATAATTATTCCTTCAACTCCCAGGGCAGAGTTTAAATGGTTTGAATTATTTTTTCTGGTTAGCGTTTATTTAGCGAGTTAGCTTTTCTACGGGATGGGGTAGCTAACCCCATGCTCAACCCTCCTGCTTTACCCGGGCTTGGGACCGGCAGTAACTCTAGAAGAGTTACAGGCGGAGTTATTAAGTTTATTGGTTGGATAAAATTGATTTCGTTTATATTGAGAGACTGACTTTTAGAAATGATTCAGTTCTAAACTGCACACACGTCACTGATATTTCAAAATAACTGCGATGTTGAACTGTGAAGTTCACATATTACAACGGACAGGAAATTGAGCATAATGTTATTATTTTTCGCAATAATGAGTAGATTCCACTAGTTCATCTATTTTATTAATAACCACTGAGTCATACTTTTAATGTTTGATTGTCAGGTGTATTTACTTATTTGACTCTTTTATAAACTGAATATATATGATTACATAATGTATTTATCATTTTACAATTACTTGTTGAAACCTATAGGCTTGTTTTGAACAATCATCTCAGAATCATAGTTTTAGTCTGAGGATACGATTGTTAGTATATCCTGATTCTGTGATTGGATCCATAGATACTTTATGAATTAGTATATTAATTTTTTTGGATCAATGAATGCTGACACCATGTTCAGAGTGTTCGACTTTCATCTATTAAGTTGTGGGTTCTAACGCCCACTCCACCTACTGTGATTTTGGGAACCAGGTAGTACCAACAGTCCACACAGAGTGTGGCTCAAAATTAAGTATACGAAACAGTACCTGGTTTATTTATTTGAACACGTAAATATTGGTAAAAAGGAGTACCGAACACATATGCGCTGCACAAATCACTTGATTTGTGTGTGGATTGTGATACTGTCCAGTGGCCAGACCGAAGCAGGTGGTTTTCTTAGGGGGCCACAACCGGAGGCTTTGACCTAAAGATCTGATCCACAAGGCAATGTAGCATTGTGAGAAGATACAGTCCCATGGTAGCCAGTGGCCAATGATTGATTCATACGCCATTTGTTCCCTCAGGATACTGGAGCCCATGTGCACCATTTGTTTGGAATCAGGGTGTTCCAGCTCCCCTAGGTGGACTTTCTGTGTCCACCAACCCGGTCAAAGCACTGGATATTCACTTCTCGTCCTTTCAATTCCGTAAACAACATCCCTTCTGTGAGAAGGCAGTGAGTATGAATTCCCTGGTAGTGGCTGTGTGAGAGCATATGGAGAGGGAGAACAGACTCTCCTCACCCTCGGCCGTACCAGGGCATTTGGAGGTCAGTACCTGTTAAATGGGTTAATACTATTACAACGAAGTACAAGAAAGTAGAAAGATTTGATATTGATTAAATCAAGTCATATGATAGATCGACGTCATTTTGATTATCAACACAAGAGATCAAATAGTGGAGGTTTAACAAAGTAGCAGTTGTACTTTGCACCTCCTTGGTGATGGACATTTTGTAATATTCCTCAGTCAACAGAAGGTATCCTACAGATAGAAAATAAACTGGTTATAACTGACTGGATTATTTAACAAAGATATGAAGTTGCATAAAGTAAAAATCATTCATGAATCAGTATAGTAGTATGTTCAAAGTCCTATTACATTCATTTATAATCATATAATGAACTTTATAATGGTAGTTAATGACAGTAAATTTAAACAGTAAAAATAATAATTGTAATATTATTTATATAATGAATTTATATTATTTAAATTCCATAATGATCAAGTTCATGTATAAATAGCATTACATTTAAATCTAATTAGTGAATGTATACAAGTTTAAAACATTGTTTAAGTAGTTTTTTTTTTAAAAAAATAATTAAATAATAAATTCTTTTGTGAAATAAGTTTACATCATTCTATTAACTTAGATTATTGATTATAATAGATTCATAGTTTCTATCGGGTCTTTTTTTGTTCAACTAATCTTGTGTTAGTGAAGTTAATCATCTTTACTGAATTAGGTGGATGAGATATAATTATGTATGACCTGGTGATTAAACGTAACACGTTATTTTATAATTAGCGTTGAAGTAAATCAAATAAAACATTTTGATGGAGTTTTGTTCTCTGAGCTGGATGGTTTGGTCGTGGAGCTTTCATCGTCCTTCCGAAAGACATCATCAGCACAAACTTCGGGTAGAAGACTTCTACTTCCAGCTCAGAGAACAAAACTCCATCAAAATCACCCACCTGAGCTACAAATCTTCACCATCTCAAAATAAAACATTAATGGCTAACAGATTAAGACATAACGTTAAGAAACATGAATATAATGAATAGTTGGCTGATATAAGTGAGGTCTGTGTTTGAAAACTTTATCATAATACTGCTCTCAATCACTTGCAATAATGCCTAAGTATTTATTATTTCCCTTTCTTTAAGTCTTGAATATGATAAGGTTCAAAATACAATTTTATCAATTCTTGAATGTCAAATAGCGAGTTATTCGTATGTAAACAATTATTGCTCATGATCACAGATGATGTATAAAGGGTGTCCACTTAAAGTGCAGACCAGACATTGATATTTTAAGTAATAAACCAATCAAAGGTGTTCCAATAAATTTATGTTTAAGTAACCATTTATTCGCATGACTGAATATCTTACTAACAGATATTGAAAATTACAGAGAAAATTTATTTACCTTTTCTTCAAACAAGTAGTTATTAAGTAAACTTGTTGTGACAAAGATTATTATGACAACTAGAATTAAGTGAAAAATACGTCGACATCGGAAACTTCGGACTCGTAATTTCCTATAACAAAAAGAAAAAAACAAATCAAATCAATATGACTGAAAATCAATTCGTTGGATATTCAGGCACTCATCTTTGAGAACCAAGAAATTTTGTCAAACAGTAAACTTAGTTAAGCATAAACAAGCGACTGATCACGACGTTACAAATGTCTATGAATAAATAAATAAAAAGTATAAGTATATGAAAATATCAAGTAGTAGGCTTTTATGAACGTTAAAAAGGAGATGTGATCAGACTAAACCACCAAATAATACAATTACCAACAAATTTGAATTTACACTGTTCAGAAAAAACACACTTATTATTTGTTTCTACTGATGCTAAGACAATTTAATGTGTATGGGTATTCGGAGTAACCTAAGTGATTGACTACAAAGGACAAGATCTTAAGAAAGGAATTTGAGTTATGGAAGTGGTTAGAAGAAAATTCAGAAACAAATATCAGATTCTGTGTTTGTAGAATAGATAAATTTATAGAATGCTAATTATGTGCCATTATAAGTTATAAATTATCGTCGTATAAAGAGAAACGGAAACAGTAGAAATCTACATATAGAAGGGGTACATAGGTGAACTATTTTTAGAATGACAAACAAAAAAGTGAAATATTGTGTAGATCAAAACAACAATGGTTAGTGTTTACAACTTAGACCGCATTGTAACGAAAAAAATAACAATTAATGTTCGAAGTTCTAGATTCACTGGGTGTTGGATGACGTTAGAAAACTAATGAATGTTAGGTTACACGTTACACAATTTCTAATTATCTTTAATATGGCAACAGATAAATTATTCATCCTATTTTCAGACGAGAAGAATAACAAAAATATATGTGACTAACAGTTAGATCTTGATTGTCACTCAGTCAGGGACTTTCATCGAATATGATAAGTTGGTAAGTTATTCTTCGAACAAATGACATTGGGTTCGATAATATTATCTCCCATTACCAGACCAAGAATATTGCACTTATTATATAAACAGCTAAATCGTCCTCGTCACTACGAAAAGCAGTAATTCATAACAAACTATGTGACACACAAAAGACTATTCGGAAACTATAAAAACATTGATATCTGAGTGAGAATTACCGAATACACACAAGTCACAGCTCGAAACTAAATAAAAGGCTGTAGATATTTTTTACGTCAAATTCTGTTAAGAATGGAACTGATGGTTGCATAAAACAGTGGGCACCGAGTTTATGAAAGAATTTAATCACAAAAATTGTCACTGACAAGACTGAATGACTTCAACCTTTTACCGTGAAAACACGTTAGATCTTCGTCCGGGAAATATTTAACATCACCAAATATAGGTAAGGCCGAAAACTATTCTGGACCAGACGACTGTTCAATCATCTTCAAATACTAAATTTGTTTATGATGTGAAGTGTTTTCAGATTACGATATATGGTGTTCTAAATGTATGTTATTCTTATCGGAATCTAATGATTATGTGAAACTTTAGGCCATGGCCACGATCACATTAGTTAATCTCTGTTATTATCGTAAAATAAAAAATACACAATTATAAACGGAATTTGTCAGAGTGTGCTGATTCAAAGAATAGTCCTGCTGTTGTATTATTGTGTAAATCAATGATAATCGGATGCATTCAAACAAAATAATTAACTGAATAATTGAGTGAACTTTGTTATCAATTGTCATGGCACTTTAGGTATGAAAGGACAGGATAATTAAAAAATTGTTCGTCATCACTTACTATTCAACATTTACTAACGTGAACCTAGCTACATACCATCTCATCTATTCAGATTTTTCAAATTCATCTATGTATTAAAGTATTTGCTTCGTATAACTTTGGTCTCAAAGTCGATTTGCTATTATCTATCTACTAAATCTATTGTTATTGACGTCAAGCTAAATGACCATTTAAGGATTAAGAGTTTCAAACATCATTTATATTCCCTCGCACTGACAATCAGTTCCCTAGATGTCATTACAATCACTGCATTTAGTTCGGTAGTTACAGTTTTGTAGTTCCTATTTGGAAGTCGGATCCTCGATATTTACTGGTGTAGAATAGAGCATCAATGGAATGAAAATGCAATTTTACATCACGTTTATTCAAAATTATAGTGTCTTTGGATTTATCTTGATGGCATGAGATGACAGTCTTAATTAAAACTGTTGGTGGACCTTTTGATTTCGTCCTACTTTCATGTTAATTATACTTCGTACAAAATATTTGGAATGATTATTTAGTCCTTAGGGTAGATATGAATAAATATTATTCAATCCATCTACCTTCTGGTTCGATAACAAGATAATAAACTCTGATAATACTTTAATTGGTAAAGCATACGTTGGAATTCATCCTGAATGTATTTCTAAATATGTTGGATTGAAGGGAACACCAACATTCATGCGATATTATAATCTTTTTCAATTGACTAGTCGAAAATGCTGGTTTGTGGTTAACCGATTAGATCTTATGGGTAAACTTGATGCTATTTGATATGATGTTCACATTATTTAAAAGGTGCATTCAATCCATCTAATTTCATAATGACTAAAACATTATCCGTAAACTGCAACCAGAATTTTTGACGAGACTGTGTTCACTACCATGATAATAAACCTGTTCATAGTAAATACATAAAAACTCGAACTGTCAGAAAAGCTAGAGATCCCCTTATCACAAATCCTATTAATCAATGTGTATCCTTTCGAAGTATGAATAACATGAAATTTAAGTACAACGTTAAGCTTGCAGTAATCTCAAAAAATATCCTGAGGTACAGCGCAAATTGACATTTTAAATATTCTTAAATTACAACCGACGACTCCCTAATCGATGAATGAATAAATAAAGAGCAATTATTAAACTTTCCGATTGTTTCAATTTCTTCAATACGAGTTGAAGTAGTTTTATTCTTCAATTCATTTTAAATTTTGATTCTCTTTTATCAAGCTTGCTGATTTTGCCCGGGTATTTTAGACGATGTTAAGTCTATAACTTTATGGATTAAGTCACTTCTTGTGGGTTTTTAGTGTTCAATAAAATTTACAAAAGTACGAGCCCCTAGATGAATATCTCATTTTATAATTATGATCATGGTAATACCATTAAGTTTCACATAATCATTAGATTCCGATAAAAATGATATACATTTAAATATACATTTAGAACATCAGATATCGTAGTCTGAAAACACATCACATCATAAACAAATTTAGTATTCGAAGATGATTGAACAGTCGTTGGGTTCAGAATTTTGGCCTTATTCATCTTTGATGATTTTGAATGCTTCGCTGAACAAGATTGAAAATCACAGAATAAAACGTTAAAACTATCAAATTCCCTTCGCGATGATTTCAAAATTTTGATTTTACATATGATATCTATTCCGTCGGTATTACTATAGTGCGATCCATGATTGTACATTAACATCATGAAAGTATTACGAAAATATATCGTCAGAAATTACATCAACAGTCAACAGACAAACGTCCTATTACCAAAAAGCACACAGAACGTAGACGATTATTCATTAACTTATCGAATTTAATGTGCCATAGACGGACGGAATAAAAAGTCCATTAAATACACACACATAAACAAAGATTTACATACTAGCATTTCCACACCCACTAAAGTAAGGCAATCTCTTAACCAAGCTTGGCATGAGTGACTAAATGAAGTAAATAATTGGTTTAAATCAGAAAAATTATATGGAATGAAATCAAAACTTAGTTTTCTAAATTATTTCAAGTTAAACAATAAGTATCATCCCAATGAGTAAAAAAATTAGATTTTCTGACGTGATCAATCAAAACTGTTTTTTGATTGATCACATAATATTCGTGTTGTTCCGTTGTACTATTTAAACTTGGATTAATTTTGATTTGGTTATTTGTTCTCTGAAGAAGCGGCTCTCACTGAGTCACAAAACGTCAGAAAATCTAATTTTTCTACTCATTGGGATATTACAAAAATATTATTTATTTATAAAAATCTACTCAATGCTCAATTGATTCTAAATTATCAAGTCAAACCTCGGTAATGATACCTACAATAAGTATCATGTTTATTTCTCAAAATCATAAGTTTTAAAAAAGCAACTGAAAGTACAAAAAAACGAGAAGTTAGTATCGCTTTTCGAATGTTCTAAATTTACAGCAGGAACAGAAAGTATTCAAACGAATGTAAACAAGTACTATTTTAACCTAATTATATGTAATGCTACTTAGAGATTATGTTATATTATTGATTCTCCAGATTTATTTGTACATCTGTGTGTATTAAGTTACGAGGCATACATACATTAATTAAGAGTTATCGATGTTCTGCCCCCAAATGCCCTGGTACGAGCGAGAGTGAGGAGGGCCCACCCTCTCTCTCTCGAAATGCTCTCACACGGCTACGCGTATACAGCCTCTGCCCGAGAAGTCCTACTCACTGCCTTCTCGCACCACAGGTGTTGTTTACGAAATTCAGAGGACGGAAAGCGAATGTCCAGCGCTTTGACTGGGCCGGTTGACACGGGAAGTCCACCTAGGGGAGTTGGAACACCCTGATTCCAAACAAATGGTGCACATGGGCTCCAGTATCCTGAGGGAACAAATGGCGTATGAATCAATCATTGGTCACTGGCTACCATGGGACTGTATCTTCTCACAATGCTACATTGCCTTGTGGATCAGATCTTTAGGTCGAAGCCTCCGGTTGTGGCCCCCTAAGAAAACCACCTGCTTCAGTTTGGGCACCTGGGCAGTATCACAGCCATTACACAAATTTTATTTTATTTCTGTGGCGCATAATTATCTGGTGCCCTCTTGTACCAATATTTATGTGTTCAAATAAATAAAATAAACCGATGTTTTTTACAACTGTGTAGAATTAGATATGTTGGAGTGATTATGACCATAAGATACAAAAAAGTAAAAGTCATCTACATAGACTTCTAACTGAATCATTCGTCTATGAAATCATTTCGGAAATAACACAGCATAAAACGCTCATAGAATTCGACAACCACGAAATATAATGCCACAGCATATGCATCAAGTATGGAAAAGCAATAGGAGATACCGCATAATATGACCAGTGTGGAGAATGACAAACAGCGTCTGACTTTCTGGTCACATAATACGGATATTTAATTTATTGAAATAAGTGTGATTCTTCATTAAAAAAATGATGAAAAGCTTTAGATATATAGATGCGATATAAGATTCTTACCTACTGTAAAATGAAAAACCGAAAATTTAGTTAAGGACAGATAGAAAAAATAATATCCACTAAGGGGACATTGATGATAGGGAAAAACTATCAGCTTTCGTCATACTTCGCAGATTGTTCAGGAACCAAGAAAGATTGACTCGCGAGGAACAGGCTGGTTTTCCTTCTGGTCGAGAATGTATTGATCATATCTTCACCCTCCGCCAAATGTTAGAACATCGTCATACTTATAATAGGCCAACAATTGTAGTGTTTCTTGACATTAGGGTCGCCTTCGGTTCGTTGGACAGGGTTGTTTTCTGGGATCGTCTATTGAAGAAGGGTGTGTCTGAGAAGTTTATTAACATCTTGAAAGCCCTATATACAAACACTTCGAGCAGAGTGAGAGCATACAGTCACTTCTCTCTACTGTTCCATCCAAACAGTGGGGTTAGGCGAGGTTGCTCAACCTCACCATTCCTCTTCAACTTTGCCATCGATGACATTCTGGAAACAGTTCTGATGAATGTAGGTAATGGTGGTGTAGATCTGTTGTCTGAAGAAAGACTTCCTGACAGTGAGTAAGCGGATGATATTGTCCTACTGTGCAACGATACTCAAGCCATGCAATACGCACTTAATCAGTTGTCCATCAGTGTTCGTAGGTATGGTATATACATTGCAACTTCCAAGTGCAGAATACTTTTACAAGACTGACAGGACCCTGATCTTGCACTCACCGTGAGTAGTGAGCGGATAGTAGTCGAGAAGTTTGTATATCCAGGTAGCTGCATAAGTTCTAGTGGTGGCGTGGGTGATGAGATCAAATCACGTCTAGTGAAAGCCAGAGCGGCTTATGACAATATGTGCAATCTTTGGGGCCTTTATGATGTTAGTTTGACTGTGAAAGGTCGGATCTACAACGCATCCGTGAGAGCGGTTTTGGTCTGTTCTTATGAAATCCGGTCTCTTCGAGTGACTCTCTTTGTTTGATCACTGCTGACATTCAGTGGCAACATCATGTCAGTAATGCAGGGGTTGGACAACATGTGTTCGTGCAATGACGATAATTGGATCGGTGTCATCACCTGGAAACACCAAAATCGATGGCTTGGATGTGTTACGAATGTCTTCCCAGTAAATTCTACATCACACGTTAATTGCGGACGCTAGGACTGGTTAGATAAAGCATGTCATTACATGACATGCTAACGTGTGAAAGTGGTAACGGGACAGGAACTTGTCAATCCTTCACGACTTTCTCACTGGGGTCCTAGAGACAGTGCAACATGGTGTCTTAAGATAATACTAGATATGGCTAAGAATAGAACCCAGTGAGGGTCCTGTCGTAATTTTCTTTTTATTTCTTCATGTACGTGAGCGGATCTTATTTGACTAAAAAGATTTTTCCAAACTGTATTTTTCTTAACTGAACTGTTTCCCTTATACTTTTTTACGATCATTTTTTTATCTTTTATTGATTAAATTCACTCTCTTTTCCCTATCTCTTTTCAATCGCATTTTCTGGTTGTGTGGCGCATATATGTTTTGGTATTTTATGCGTTTAAATAATTGTTTCTATAAAGAGGTCCATTTGACTTGAAAATATGTTCTAATTTAAAGGCGATATAAGTTTCGAAAATAAAATAACTTACATACTTTATAATCTCACTCATAAAATGAATTATAGGATAAACATTCTCAGAAAACATTTTACTAAATTCTCATTCTCGATAAGACCGAAAAGGTTAATACGGATTGCACTTTGTATTTAGATGTGGAAACAATGATCATGGGGGGAATTAACTAATCTAAGCATGACACAAATGAGTACCAAAACGGTTGCACATGAAAGCACAAAAAATTTAGACTTACATATTTTTCACTATAGTTAGGGAGTCTGCATCCACACCTGAAACGGTAATTCACGAAAAATTTAAAAAAGTTAACTTTAAAGCAATGGTAAATGAGTTTGTTAGAATCTTTCATAAACAACGTAGGACCTTGGAAATACGGAGTTTAAGTCAAATAATTCACATCAATAGAGAAGCATCCAAATGAGTCGACCAGTCAAATACCCCGTAGGACCAAGCACGTATATGCATCAGTCCAAGTTGCCATACCTCACCAGCACAAAAACATGAACAACAAATTCATAGAACCACTTATTTCAATAGTAGTGATATTTAAAATAAAGATTGTATATAAGAATTAGTTCGTACAAATAAAGGTATGAAGTAAGTTTAATCTCAAGGTTTAAGGGAAGACAAACAGTGCATACACCTACACCATTCTGATCAATTATGAGCCACTTCACGCACAGTCTCTAACCAGTGGTTACAATAGTCACGTGCAACCCAACCAAATAGTCCACATCTGCCAACATGGCTCAGATCAAAAGTTGGTGACTGTCGACTAATGCCACGTTTCGGTCTAGCCATCCCTAACTTTATTCCATGTATCTAACACTAATCAACAATGTGTTCCGTAGTAATCAATGGTTGAGCATGTGTTATACGTGGCGCAACTATCACAGCCCATAGAGATTTACACCCTCATCAACCGACTTACTATCATTCCCTAGTACCCTGAGTCTAACCTCAACATTACTTACTCGGTGATCCCAGCAGATGTGAGCAATATTTCTAAGACATCGGTGACAAAATACTAGTAACTTACGAATATTCTCTACATTTAATGGCCACGTATTGCAGACGAAAAGTAAAACAGAACAAACGGCAGAGCAGTATAGTCGTTTGGGCACCCGGGCAGTATCACAGCCCTCTCGCAAATAAATGAAATAGAACATTCAGCTGACAATTATATTCTCGTTCATACAAGAAACAATTCAATTTGCATTATTGTTACTATTATTATTATTATTGTTTACCATATTGCTAATTCACCCCCTTTTATCCCCAATTTGTGTAACCGTACTTTTCATCTTATGCAGCAGCTCGCTCTTGGTGGAAAATCTGTCCTATCTAAACGATCTCCAGTCACTGTCTGGTTGAAAGTGAATGCTCCCACCGATAATGAATACTGAGGCAGTCTTTCTGAAACCACGTACACAGTTCAAGCTGGCTTCCTTCAACGTTCGCACACTAATGCATATCAGACAACAGATAGGGCTGGCTATGTCTTTGGAAGGTCTTAATGTTGACGTTTGTTGTCTATCCGAGACCTGCATTCAAGACTCTAGTGAAGTACTACAAATCCGCTCTCCATCTGTCGCTTCGAAAAGCTTGTTTCACGTGCGCTTATCCGGGGACCCTGTGGCATCTTCGTCTGGTCTTGCTGGCGTTGGTGTCGCAATAAGCGCTAGGGCTGAGGCAGCACTAATCGACTGGATGCCCATTAACAGTCGGTTATGTGCTGTTAGATTAGAAAGTTCCATCAAAGTGAGAAGAAATCGGCGTGAGAATCGGTGTCTTTTCGTCATCTCCGCCTATGCCCCGACAGATTGCAGCCTAGATGCAATCAAGGATGTTTTACCATCAGTTAACAGTTCTTCTCCAGAAAGCGCGTTCGACAGATATTGTAGTACTAGCCGGAGACTTGAATGCACAGGTCGGGCGTCTAGGCACAGAAGAGAGTCGTCTAGGTGGCCGATGGGGACTTGTTGATCGCAGGACAGATAACGGGGACCGTTTGCTGCAACTGTGCACAGACCACAACCTGTTTCTGGCCAGCACTAACTTCCGGCACAGTCATGGCCGGTGTGCCACCTGGCATCCTCCCTCTGCATCCCAAGCCTGGACTCAGATTGATCACATCGCGATCAGCTACCGCTGGCGTGGTTGTGTACAAGACTGCCGCTCCTTTTGGAGTACCTATCTGGAGTCTGATCATGCCCTGGTCTGCGCCAATCTCACCTTACTTTTCAGTGGCCGAAGGATTGACCACCACCAACGGATCGATGTTAGTAAACTGGCTGCAACATCTGTTGCAAGTAAGTATCGAGCGGAGCTAGCCTCTAGGCTAGCTACCATCCCACCGAAAAGTATAGATGAGCATCGGTTGCATCTTCACGACGCCATGAAAATGGCGAGTAAAGCCGCTTGCGGCTTCGCGAAACGTCCCGCTTACAAGCACTGGATTTCTTCTGGCTCCTTACAACTGATGGAAGCCCGTCGGTCTACTCCAGGTGACCGTGAGTAGGACCACCAACGAAGGCTGTTACGTAATGAAATTGGGCAAAGCTTGCGTAAGGATCGAGAAGCCTGGTGGTCGGAGCGTGCTAATGAGATGGAATCAGCAGCTGCATCTGGTAACTGCCGGAAGCTCTTCCAACTCATCCGAGCCACTGGCAGCAAGAAGTCTGGTGTGAGTGAAACAATCTACGACGATGACGGGATGCCAATCACTAACATCTGTCGACGTCTTGGACGATGGGCGGAATTTTTCGAAGGGCAGTTCAACTGGCCTGCTGCTCCGGCAACATCGACCAGTTTGTCCTGCCCCCATGGCCGGTGACGACTGATCCACCAAACGAGGCGGAAGTCCGCAAGGAACTCAAACTCTTGAAACGTTACAAATCACCTGGCCCAGATGACTTATCTCCGGCTCTTTTTAAAGATGGTGGTGACTTTCTGGCTAAGGAACTGACTGCGTTGTTTGCAAAGGTTTGGGAGGAAGAAAGTGTTCCAACATCAAGGAATGAGTCGATAGTCGTCCCTATCTTTAAAAAGGGTTCACGTTGTTCCTGCAATAACTACCGAGGGATAAGTCTACTTTCGATTGCGTCCAAACTATTGGCTTCTGTCATTCTTCGTAGGTTGTTTAAAACCCGAGAACGATTGACTCGCGAGGAGCAGGCTGGTTTTCGTTCTGGTCGAGGATGCATTGATCACATCTTCACCCTCCGCCAAATGTTAGAACATCGTCATACTTATCGCAGGCCAACAATTGTAGTGTTTCTTGATATCAGGGCTGCCTTCGATTCGTTGGACAGGACTGTTCTCTGGGATTGTCTATTGAAGAAGGGTGTGCCTGAGAAGTTCATTAACATCTTAAAGGCCCTGTATACGAACACCTCAGGCAGAGTGAGGGCATACAACCACCTTTCTCCCTTGTTCCATTCGAGCAGTGGGGTTAGACAGGGTTGCCCGATCTCACCATTCCTCTCCAACTTTGCCATCGACGACATCCTGGAAACAGCTCTGATGGATGTAAGTAATGGCAGTGTGGATATGTTGCCTGGAGAACGACTTCTCGACCTCGAGTATGCGGATGATATTGTCTTACTGAGCGATAATGCCCAAGGCATGCAATCAGCACTTAATCAGTTGGCAATCAGTGTCCGCAGGTACGGCATGTGCTTTGCACCCTCCAAGTGCAAAGTACTCCTACAAGACTGGCAGGATTCTAATCCTGTACTCACCCTGGATGGTGAGGAGATCGAAGTAGTTGAGAAGTTCGTGTATCTAGGTAGCTATATAAGTGCTGGTGGTGGCGTCAGTGATGAGATTGTTGCACGTATAATGAGAGCCAGAGCGGCTTATGCCAATCTGGGCCATCTTTGGCGCCTTCGTGATGTTAGTCTGGCTGTAAAAGGTCGGATCTACAACGCGTCGGTGAGAGCAGTTTTGCTCTATGCTTGTGAAACCTGGCCTCTCCGAGTTGAGGATAATAGACGTCTCTCCGTGTTTGATCATCGTTGTCTCCGAAGGATTGCTGACATTCAGTGGCAACACCATGTTAATAATGTCGAGTTTCGGCATCGTGTGTTCGGGCGCAGAGACGATAATTCAATTGGTGTCACCATCTTGAAACACCGACTTCGGTGGCTTGGACATGTTTTACGAATGTCGTCCCAGAGACTTCCACGTCGTGCATTATTTGCCGACCCTGGGACTGGTTGGAGAAAGCGGAGAGGAGGTCAGTGTATGACATGGTGTCGTGGCATGAAAGAGCTGCAAAGGGCTAGCTTTTGTTGGTCCTTCACGACTCCCTGGTTGGGGTCCGAGAGATAGTGCGACACAGTGGCTAGAGACGTTATCAGATATGGCTCAGAATAGAAGCCAGTGGCGATCCTGCTGCAACCTTCTTTTACTTTCTACATAAAGAATGGTTCTAACTTTCCTAACTGAAAGAGTCTTCTGGTTGTACATTTCAGCCCGCCTTATCTTTTCATCCCTTCTCTTCCTACTTTCATTATTTTGTGTGGCGCATATGTACCTGGTGCCCTTTTGTACCAATATATATGTGTTTAAATAAATAAATAACTGACACATAAGTCCTACTCACTGCCTTCTAACGGCAGGGGTGTTGTTTACGAAATTGAGAGGACGAAAAGAGAATGTTCGGTGCTTTACCAGGTTGGTGGATATGGAAGATCCAACTAGGGGAAATGGAAAACGCTGACTTTAAACCAGTGATGCACATGGGCCCCAGGATCCTAAGGCAACAAATGGTTTATGAACATATTACTGATCACCGGTTACCATGAGACTGCTACTCCTTACGTTGCTTCACTGCTTTGTGGATTAGACCTCTAGGTCAAGGGCTCAGGGAGTGGCACCCTAAGAAAACCACACACCCTGGTTCGAGTGCCCGAGTAGTATCTCAGCCTTTACGCGAATTAAATAATGAAGTGTGGCGCATATATATTTGACGCCTCCTTGTACCAATATTTGTTTAAATAAACAGACTAGTTTGGATGGTTGGATTGAGAAATGAAAGTATATTAACATTATTACCAGTCACATTAAAAATGTAGCTCGGGAGAATTTGAGTAGAGGGATATTTTCTTATACATATCTGTTATTCCGACAGAACAGATACTTCCTTTTTATAGACCAAACAACATGAATGAATGAATTTGTATCAATTACTAGGTCTAATTAGTACAAAATGTAGAGGAAGATCAGTAAACTGTTTAATTTAGCAATCACACGACGGATCGCCTTGAGATATGTAGTAAACTGTTTCATGAGGTCTGATACTATCCAATAGATAGAACAAAATTAAAGTACACATGTTACTTTAAATTCTGGTTTGTTCGTAGCTGACAATTGTCAAAAAGAGTTAGTGACTGATCAAAGAGCTAATTAAAAGTCGTGATATTGCCACTAATTTGTAAACTTAGAATTGAGTAGTATCATAAGAAACAACTGCAACCACTTTTCCACCTACAGACTGCTTTGTTAACAGAGAAGTTCACATTAAAATTGAAGAGGCAACAGCTAAATCATTCTTGAAATTTTTTTAAACAAATGAGATTGGGAAAGACTACTTTGTCTGATTATTGTAAGACAATTGTGCATCACCTAACTAAATAACCTAAATCCGAACAGTACTCAAAATATAACACCGAACGACCAATAATGAACCGAAAGGGATTATCTTTGAAATTGTACGAGCTAATTAAACATCAAGTTGAAATTTATCTTCAGTACAGGCAATCATTTCAAAGACATACCACGGGGCCTACACCAGATAGGTTAAACATATCACTAGCAATTTGCACAGGTATGTCATAAAATTTCATCAGTGTACTTCAATTATTACCAAACAATATGGTTGTGAGCACATACGAGTGATCGAATTTTTAGACTTGTTCTGGCAACTAACCTTCGGCTTTTATATGTGGTTTAGTAGACGTATATGGACCTACAGCGGTCGACCACAACGGATTACGCTGGCGCTACCTAAGATCATTTGACTGTTACACACCAAGTTTAACCGAACAGTTGTCAAATGTCAAAAAAATAAATAATAAACTTCAAATATTTGCAATCAAGACCTTATGTGAATCACAAACAAATTAGATAAAGGACTTAAATCCTGGGATAATAGTTACAACTTAAATTCATTAGACATTTCAAGCCTGACAAGTGTTCATTATGACTGTCCAATATAATTATTGACCGAAAAAAAGATGAGTACTTTCACTTCTTAGACGGTTTGCTTTCGTTGAATTTCTCGGCATAGATGCACTAAATTACAAACTATCCTATAGGATTGACATCCAAAATTAGACAGTTCTCACGCTGCAACTACAATTTTGGTTTAAAAACAGTAAGCTAAGTACTAGACCGAGGATTAACTTTGATAACTGCTGTAATTAATAACAATGAGACACAAAACGAACCAGAATGCGCAAGAACTTAAACCTACCTTACACCGGTCTTAGATTCCGCGCTCAGACCAGTTTCTTTACACACCCGCTTCCTACAACCCTAATGAAAACTGGTTTGTTGTAACAACTATAGTAACCTTTATCTTCCTACTTTAATAACATTAAATTCACTGACTCATCCTAAAATATTTTTCAGCTGAAATAAGGTTTACTGTGGTGTTCATGTTTGAGTAAAATACATACATATATAATTAAAATAACTCATAATGTCATTGAATAAGAAAAAGAGAATCCAGCGAGAAAAAATTTTCAAACCGACGAAATCATTTACTTAAGCTTTTTTTTGCGCGCTATTTAAAAAGGACAGTGGTATTTTTCCTCGTTGAGTAAATTCTATTGTTTTGATCGTTATTAACGTATCAAGACTACTGATTTTATACTTTGATTGAATTTCTTTCAGTTAAAGTATTCTATTAGAGTATCATCTTTGGTATCCTAAATAGTTTTATCGTCGGTACTCCAGAGTACCTTTTTTTCCATTGTGACTGTTAGTACTTTGGTCCTAACTGTTTATAGTTTTTTTTTCTACTTATAGTCAACACTCACTTTCGCATCCTAAAATGACTGGAAGATGCAACAAAAGCATTTGCCACCGCCCAGGATGTCGATATCCTGTTGATAGAGGCATGCAGTGCGATGAGTGCAAAGGTTGGTACCACGATGTTTGCACGAATCTAACACCTGCAGCTTTCAAGCGGTTTAGTAAAAGTGGGTGTGTATGGCAATGTCAACAGTGCTGTTTGGACGCAAATAGCCTGCTAACCGAGGCCATTTCAATAGTAAATGCCGCAAAAAAGTGTCTCGGCAAGCGCGGTCGGGATACATCAGTCAGAACTCAATCTGCCGACACGCAGATTGACACAAGGCAGGCCCAAGTGAGTCCAAAAACTGCCGACCCACACCCTACTAAGGAGGAAGAACATCCTCCAAAGAGGACTGTTACAACCAGAAACTCGCGCAAAAAAGTCTCTTCTGTCCCTCGTATCAAAAATGGTACCCAGAAGGGAACTTCCGGAAGCCGAAACCGCAAGGCTCGATCGGTTTCCAGCGCGAAAGATGACCCGATCTCCCAAGTCGTCCTGAACCTTCCGGAATCCCACAGTACGCCTGACGCGACTGTGGTTACCACTCCAAAGAACGTTGGCGATTGGGTACGGGTCGTAAGAAAAAAACGCCAAAATGACGTAAAAGGAAATCATACCCCCACCAAAAGGGTCTACAAGCCGAGGTCTGATCACAGCGACAGATCAGTCATTCTCCATAGAGTCAAGGAGAGTGACAACTTAGAACCGAAAGCTCGTTTTGAGCATGACATTGTGTTGATAAAACAACTACTCAACCAAGTTATGCCCAAAAACATCCCCGGAGTCACCTTGCTAAAGGTGTATAGACTAGGAAATCTAGCGCATCTGAAACCAAATCAGTCTAGACTACTCAAAGTCGTTTTCAAATCCTCAAACGAACGCGAATTAATCTTAGAAAATGGACACAAATTAAAGGGTTCAGGAGTTTTCCCTCGTAAGGACTTGCCGCTGAAGAACCGTGTAAAAAGACAGGAAGCCGAAAAAAACTACAGCTCAGATTAGACGCTGGCGAAAAAGACCTGAAAATTGTAAATTTTCGGGTTGTGAGGCTTCGACAGAGGATGATGCCGAAGCCACTCTGGGTGAAGCACGAGGCCACTTAAATAGGCTTCGGATCTCTTACACCAATCCCCGGGGCTTACTAAATAAGCTACCGGAACTAGGTGTACAGATTGACTCAACTAGGCCAGACATAATCGCAGTCACAGAAACATGGCTGACGCCGTCTATAGATAGTAGGGAACTTGATTTCGAGGGTTTTACATTGGTAAGGGCCGATAGGATACAAACGCGTAAAGGAGGGGGAGTAGCTCTATTCATTAGGAATGCTATTCCATTCGCCATTATCGATAGTGTATCCCATGAGAGTGGGACGTGTGAATTAGTTTGCTGCCACCTGAAATGCAGGGGACAAGAGTTACTACTTAGTTTGATCTATCGCAGTCCAAGCTGTGAGGCAAACGAGGTCCTGCTAAGCAGTCTCAACACTTTATCACGAAGTGATCGATGTCTAATCCTAGGGGACTTCAATGCACCCATGGTGGACTGGGGAAATCTGCGGACTGAATCGTCAGCAAACTCCTTCGAACAGGAACTAGTTGATGCGATAATCACATGTGCCCTAGTGCAACACGTGAAGGAAGCAACTACGTACGACCCGGGTTCTGCATCATCCTTACTGGATCTTATATTGACTCATAATGAGGATGACGTTGAAACCTGGATTACATGCCACCCCTAGGCAAAAGTGATCATGCAGTTTGAACCTTTGACTTCCATATAACTGTCGATCACGAGTACGCTTCAGCTCAATCCAGACCTAACGTCTGGAAAGCAAACATACCAGACATCATGAAATCAGCATCATTAGTAGATTGGAAATTAGATCCAGAGTCATCAATCGAAACGGCTTGGGACGTATTCCGGAATTTATACTTAAAAGTTACCACCTCCCACATCCCTTGGACTACACCTAGGGGGCCGAGAAACTTCCCACCGTGGTTCAGTAGGGAGGTTCGCATCCTTCTCCGTAAAAGACGAAAAATGTGGGACAGATTTAGGTTACTGGGGACTGACGAGGCGAAATCTCAGAATCAAAAGGCTCGAAATACCTGTGCCTCGACCCTCCGTAAGGCCAGAAAGCTGTACGAAGAGAAAATCGTTAGGGAATCCATAGAATGCCCTAAACGCTTGTATTCGTATATAAACCAAAGGATAAAAAGAAGAAGAAATGTCCCTTCATTATGGGGAGACAGTACTGACTCATCACCAGTGGAGAACGACTTTGGTAAAGCTCAAGTATTCTCTAAATACTTTAGCGATGTATACACCATAGAAACACCCTTCTCATCAGTTCATGAAAATCCCCCCCACAAACACTAGACAGCGTGACCATTGAAGAACCCGATGTCCTTGTTCTGCTAAATAAACTTGACATAGGTAAATCCACTGGACCTGTTGAACTGCATCCTAGGTTATTAAAGGAATTAGCTAACTTTGTTGCGAACCCATTAAGTGCATGTTTTAATCTATCCGTAACCCAACGTAGTCTACCAGAAGACTGGAAGAACGCCATAGTAAGTCCTGTCTTCAAAACAGGTACAAAACATAAGTCTGAGAATTACCGACCAATTAGCCTAACTAGTGTGGTTGTTAAAATCTTAGAAAAGATTATTCGGAAGGAGTTGTTTAAGTACTGAATCCTCACGGAGAAGCAGCATGGTTTTAGAACAGGTTACTCTTGTCTCATTAACTTATTAGTCGCTCGTGAAAACTGGTGCGCTCTTAAGGACCAAAAATTACCTATAGACGTAGCTTACATCGATTACAGCAAATCTATCGTCGAAGTTCCGCATAACCGGCTGTTATATAAGCTAAGGAATGTCGGGATTTAAGGCAATCTATTGATGTGGATAAAAGACTTCCTAGTTGAGCGTCAACAAAGAGTAAGGGTGAACTCCAAGTTGTCTAGCTGGGAAACTGTGCTTAGTGGAGTCCCCCACGGTACAGTTTTGGGGCCAGTGTTATTCCTCCTGTACGTAAATGATCTCCCTCGTCTACTATTGTCATCGGTCTTACTCTATGCTGATGATGTCAATATATGGTGAGCGATACAAAGCAAGGGCGATAGCTTAGAACTTCAAAATGACCTGGAGAGATTATCTGAATGGTCCCAAACCTGGCAATTGCCGATAAACACTTTCAAGTGTATTGTGATGCATATTGGCCATCAGGGTACAGATACATACACGATGAATAACACTGAGTTACCTATTGTTCAGGCACACAACGACTTAGGCGTCATCGTCAGTCAAGACTTAAAGACTATTGCACACTGCCGTGCAATAGCCGCCAAAGGACTTTATGGTCCATACACAGGGCTTTTAGGCATCTTCACGCTAAAACGTTTTTGACTTTGTATACAGTGTTCGTACGCCCTAAACTTGAGTACTGTATACAAGCAGCTAACCCCTACCTAAAAAAAGACAGTGAACTCTTGGAAAGGGTTCAGAGAACAGCAACTAGGCTGATTCCCGGAATAGCGAAGCTCCCGTATGGTACTAGACTGACCAAGCTAAACCTATTCCCTCTGTCATATAGAAGAATCAGAGGTGACTTGATTATAGTTTTCAAATTGCTAAATGACAAATTTGCACCTGATATGCCCTCATTTTTCTTGTCTTCCAAAACAGAAAATCTACGAGAACACTCCAAAAAAGTTTACAAGCCCAGAACGAATTGCTTGTCAGCTGACTACCGACTTTCCCATCGAATAATCAACGAGTGGAATTCATTACCTCAGCACGTGGTTGAGGCTCCATCCGTCGACTCCTTCAAAAGAAAGTTGGATCAGTTGAGAGACCATCATTGCCAGGACTAACACAGGCCATCAAGCCTCCTGTCCTTTCCAAACTGAAACTGAAACTGATTCGTATATATAGACCCATAAATTATTTTCTTCCTTACTCCTTGATTGGTACGTAACCTCATTTGTTATAATACAATCTTTCTTAGCCTCCTGTAGACATATATTTTCCATATAACTATATATATATGAATGTACAGCTTAAGTAAATGATTTCATCGAAAAGAAAATTTTCTTCACTGAATACATACATATATATTATTGCTAATTCAAATCAGTTTCAGTTTGGAAAGGATAGGAGGCTTGATGGCCTGTGTTAGTCCTGGCAATGATGGTCTCTCAACTGATCCAACTTTCTTTTGAAAGAGTCGACGGATGGAACCTCAACCACGTGCTAATGTAATGAGTTCCACTCGTTGATGATTCGATGAGAAAGTCGATAGTCAGCTGACAAGTAATTCGTTCTGGGCTTGTGAACTTTTTTGGAGTGTCTTCGTAAATTTTCTGTTTTCGAAGACAAGAAAAATGAGGGCATATCAGGTGCAAATTTATCACTAAGCAATTTGACAACTGTAACCTAGTCGCCTCTGATTCTT